CAGTTCTGTAATGATGGCCGTATTTGAACTTCTCCCAGACTTGTGGGGTTTTGTCTACTGTAGTTTGAAAAAAGCACTATGAGAATAACATGACCTTCTGATTAGAATCATAGAGTAGTTAGGGTTGGAAAGCACCTTAAGATCATCAAGTTCCAACCCCCCTGCCATGAGCAGGGACACCTCACACTAAACCATGTCACCCAAGACTCTTTCTAGCCTGGCCTTGAACACTGCCAGGAGTGGAGGCATTCCAGTGCCTCACCACCCTTACAGTAAAGAACTTCCTCCTTATAACCAATCTAAACTTCCCCTGTTTAAGTTTTAACCCGTTACCCCTTGTCCTGCCACTACAGTCCCTAAGGAAGAGTCCCTCCCCAGCATCCCTATAGCCCCCCTTCAGATACTGGAAGGCTGCTATGAGGTATCCACGCAGCCTTCTCTTCTCTAGGCTGAACAGCCCCAACTTTCTCAGCCAATCTTCATACAGGAGGTGCACCAGCACAGAGAACAGAAATCTCTTTTGTTGCAGGGCAATTACGAAGCATGATGTCTTTTGTCACATCATTAAAACAGTCATTTTCTCCCAGAGCTGAAGCTGTGGTTAGGAGATAAACGAGTGAGGGGACCTTGGAATTCTCTTTCTAAAGATAATAGTATTTAATTAGAACTCTGAATGTACTCTTCTTCCGTAGATCCAATGCCTAAAGGTTACGAACAGTGGTATGGATTTACTCAGTTTGCACTGGAGTTAAATGAACTGGACCAGCAAACTAGGTCGTTACTCCCATCCACTGATACGCGTTTTAGGCCAGACCAAAGGTAAGAAGTTTTAAGTATCTTCCTCACATAGTTCTTCATCTTTTGTATGGTCACTTTACCCTAAGCTCCAACTATTTTGTGCAGATACCAGCAGTGTGTTTCTATCTCTACATTAATGTGCATCTGAAACAGACATTTTAATCACTTATCAGAGATGGTCTAGTCATGATGGACCAGTGTTTCCTAAATTGGCTCTTCAATGCTTCTAGATAACTACCTTTCAAAAGATATTAAAACTTCAGTACTTCAGGTACTGCATGTTGAGCCTCCTGTGTTTGAATAGCCAAAAACTGAGGCACTTGAAACTCCTCTCTGCAGTGGAATTTCTGCTGTTTCTAATTTCCAAGTAAAAGAATACAAAATTATTACAACTCTGAGCTTGTCATGAGACTTACTTTTCCTGAAGTGCTTTCTGACAGTGCAGTTGCCTGCAGATGTGGCTGTTCATCTTTCAAACACTGTGACCTGCCTGCTGTAAAGATTAGATTCTGGAGCTCTAGAGGACCTGGCAAATATAGGGAACATGAACACCAATTGTCTCTCTCATCGCTGCTGGTGCTACAGGTTTCTAGAAGAAGGGAATATCGAAGGAGCTGAAATGCAAAAGCAGAGGATTGAGCAGCTACAGAGAGAACGACGGAAGGTGCTGGAAGAAAACAATCTAGAGCATCAGCCTAGATTTTTCAGGTACTATATAATAAGTAACACGTGCTACCATGTATTGCAGTTCTTGTTATAGATCTGATTCTAACGTGCCATAAAGCAAGGCTCCATTTTTTTCCAGGTTCTACTACAGTCTTGATTTTTCTACTTGGGGAATGTAGAACCTCCAGACTTCGTTAAAACTCAGAATTACATATTGTCTTTTCATTACTGCATCCCTGAATTTCTTTCTGATTTTTTACCTTTATGGCAACATCTTTGAGTTTGCCTGAGAGAATGTAGAATTTCTGATTCTTTCAAACAAGGTCAAGTGGCTGGATTTAGCTTAATTATCTCTATGAACCTCTGCTGAATTCAGTGGGAGTGCCTTGTGCAGAAGTCTGCAGAGTTGGAGCCTTTCATTTCCAGGGCCATTTTTGAACAAGTTTCCCCTATTTTATGGGGAGAGAATTACCATTCAGAGGGCACTTTGTTTCTTCCTGTTGTAAATCAATTAACAGGAGACTTCAGCTATCGAAAGACAAAAAGGAATGCTAGAGAGGACATGGCCTTTGCCCTTCAGTTCTGCACTGAAAGAGTTGGAGTCTAAGTGAATGTCATATGGGCCTATGTATCATAGTTAACAAACCTGGGATCCTATTTTTTTTCTGGATACATAGGTAATGTATTTGTGAGGAACACAAAAGCATTTAAAATAGGTGCAAAAAGGGAATGGCTTAAACCACTAGATGTATGACTGGCTGGTAAGCTAACTTATCACATGTCAATCACACCTACTAAACAGAAGTAACTGTTGCTTCCAGCAGAATAGAGGCAAAGTCTAATACTTCACAATTGTATACTCAGTGAGAATTGTGAATAAGTGAGGATTTAAATCCTTCCAATGACGATTTGAAAACTGAAATTTGTGCTGTAGATTAAAATAACAGAATACAGAGTTTTAATTACTATATAACAGAAGTGTTACCTGGTGTTGGAGAAGATACGAATTATGCATTTTGCTTTTCAATAGTGATTTCTCTCTTCAACAAGTTACAACCCTTGATTTAGTTTCAAAATAGTTGTTTATTGTGCAAGAAATGTTGCACACTAGATTAAAAGCAGACTGATTCTTTCAGGGTAAGGTATCTAGTGCAATGAGGGTTGCCTCATGACTGAGAGCTTATAGGCTGTCTTTATGCAGTAACTGTGGCAAGCCATCTTTAGAGAGGGAAAAGGAATATTTCCACTTATCCACACAAAGCTGCCTTTGAGACCATGAAATAAACGTGGACTTTATTTAGTTTTAGGTGCTAAGCACTGGTATGTGACAGTGCAGAAAGCGTGTTGATCTCAGCTGAACGCTAGGCTCCTGAGGCCAAGTGCAGACATATAGTTTGACTCTCCAAGCTATACTGCCCTATTTGAAGGCGGCACCTGGTTTGTAGGCTGGATTGGGTATCTGTGCATAGTGCTACATTGCATTACACAGCATAGGTATGGAAAATATAAGCTTTACATTTAAGACATCTGTTTAATCTTTAATAGGAAATCCAACGATGACTCCTGGGTGAGCAATGGAACCTACATGGACCTTAGAAAAGAACCTGGCTTTTCCAAACTGGACAATCCTGTCCTCTGGTGAAAGAGGAGCTAAATGAAGATATTCTGTGCTGCATTCCTGGATCCAATTTAAAAGAAGTATATATAAGATATACCTATCTATAGATATATACACACACACACATATAATATATGTGTGGGGTGTGTGTATGTGTGCAAGTGTGCATATCTCCAGAATTGTTCTTAATTTAGAATCTGATAATTTGTTTCCTTTACTCTATTGCAGTGATTGTTTGAATGTATAAATAGCCTGAGTTCTTTTTATAAGATATTTAATAAAATAGTACTGAATGTTAACAGCAAGAGGGAAAAGAGGAGCTTTTACGCTACTTTTCCAATGTGTAATAATGTCAGTTCTGAGTTAACTTAATGCCTTATTAAATTGCAGTGGCATCAGCAGTACTCTAGCTGTGTTGAGAAATCAGAGTGCAAGCCTTAGTAACTCAAACTGTAGGTAGGCTGCCACAGTTCAATGGTTAGTTTGGCTGCCTCTGGGCTGGTATAAATTGCTAAAACAGGATGACAGCTGGTGTAGGAAGCTGAGTATGATCTTTTGCTGCTTGTACAAAAGGTTTAATTAAGCTTTTGTTTCTATTGGCTTTCTTCTTAGCATTATGGAAGAGGTAGTTCTGAGCTTACATCAGTGGTTCTACTGCCTTATATGTAAACTGTACCCAGCTAAGTGTAGTGCTAGAACTTCAGGATTCGCCAAAATTTTCCACTGGGAAAAATTCCACTTTGGACTTATAGCCCCCAACAGGGCAAGAGAAGGAGATCCTTTGTGTATATACTGCTTGAGCACTGACTAGACGAAGAAGCTCTCTCTTTTTCCAGTAAGTAAAACCTATACAGAGCACGAAATCCTGTGCTTCCATAGCTTCATTTGTTTTTATTAACCTAAAAATTGCACCAGTAAGACTTTTTAAAAAGTAAGCAAACTGATTGTTTTAAGCTAGAAATTTTTTCTTAGTATTTTGATATTTTCTACCTCTTAAGAAATAAACAACATATTTAAGATCTTATATTTAAAAAATGACCATCTGCCTTATGGAGAAGTGTATGGAGTCTTTGATCTTCCTCTGTTTGTTATGTTTAGATAAATATTCAAATGTCTTGCACTAAATCAGTTGCATTCCTTTCCTGTAATTTCACACATATGGCTAGATTTGTGAAACTACTGAACCATAGGTCAGAAATTCAGCAGGAAACAAATGTAGCAGAAGTTGCACTTTTGAATGAATATTTTAGAGGTGGGCAGTATTCTTGGTTTTTCCATCAAATCACAATGCCACAATTCCTACCTGTCTGCAGTTCAAACCTGACCCATGATTCATCAAGTCTGTTCTCTGTATGATCTGTGTACCTTTGGCAACAACACGGTTATAGATCTATATCTTGTCACCACCACTGCCTTTTTGTTTTTCTTACATGCCACTTCAGTAACACAAAACATAACCAGATGTTGTTGGCATGTTAAAACTGGCTTATGTCTGGAACAGTTGGACATGGCATGGACAAGGTAGACTCCTTGGGGGGTAGTGCCTTTGAAAAGCTTGCATTTTACTGTGTGCTGCATTGTGCTAAAGAAAACCCATTCAAGATGGATCCATCTGTTATATGTAACATGAAGGAAATACTATGAAAGCTTCCATTTTAAACCAAATTTGTGATGTCAGATTAGATGTATATTTGAATTTTGCTTTCTGTTACCTTGATGCTCCATATTCTTAGAGGGAGATGAATGCTTTTTCACTATTTTTCCCTTTGCCTAGGAACTCTGCCTCAGTATCATTTCTGTAACTTATTACCAAAGAAGTCAGCATTACTCTTTCTGTTTAATATGTCTTTTAAATACTTCACTACAATGCCAGCAACTTGCAACAAGGTGAGCTTCACATCAATTATAAAGACAAAATCTGGGCTTTGATTCCAAAGGAAAGCTTAACTTCTGGGGGCTGTTTGGCTTTTCGAGGAAAGTAAGGATCTCTTCGTGGCTTGTTCCCTTCCTGTGTTTTATTCTTGTACTATCAAAATATGGCAAAGAAATTAGTCGAAATTTCTAATTATCCTTGCTGTCAGTAGTTACCATTTATACTAAAACTAACACTCATTTAGCAACAAAATAGGGTAGGGGAAATAAACAAAAGGGAACAATATTTGTGGACGATGCAGTAAACTTGGTCATCATCATATTTGGCAGCTACTGTGATTACTGTCTGATCTGATTGCTGGGTTTGTATTTTCTGTGTATGAGGGGATTTCCCCGTACTTTGACAGGTGAACTAATAGTTGATAGCACCTGAAATTAAAGAGTTAGTTGTCAAAAGGCACAGTATTGCCATGCATTAAAATCAACAGGTTTTAAATGAAATTCATATTTGGTGGTTTTGATGTTTGGGAACTCGGACTGGCAGTGTTGCTGTTTATTTTACAGTCTAAAATATCTAAAATACATAATGAGAAGAAGCATTTATTTGGCTTACTGCCTTATACAAAAATTCCTCAGCAAAATTCCCATATCAAGAAGGTAAACTGCAGAATTTCACTATCAGCTCCAGAAAAATAATGCATGAGAATAATCCAGGGCATTTCTTAAATACATGAAGTAAAAATCATTGCCCAAGTAGTAGCTCCTTTTGTAAATCTCTTGACACACCTGCAAACACGGTATGACCAGTTGTGAATGATCCTCTGACCCCATGTTTCTGACAGCAGCATAGTTGTCCTTGCTTACTTCTGTATTGTTTTGGTTTAGTCGTTAAGCTTCTGTCATCTGTATATTAAGAAGTGGAAGAAAACTGTCTTGATGTTATCTCTGTGTATTTCTGCATAAAAATATATTCATTATCACAAACCTTAATATACTCTATACAGTTATTCTTGTTAAAATATGAAATTTTGGTAATTTTTCTTCCCCAAAACTTTGTATGTGTTAATGTGTGCACAATTTGCAGTAGCTTTCTGCAATATAATTAAGACTGTTTTTAATAACTGACATAGAGGGACTTTTCCCTCCCCTGTTTCTACTCTGTATCGTGAAAAGAACATACTGGGCAACTACTGCTTCCTTTCATATGCAGTAGTGATCCCCAAGCTGTTCAGCTCAATAGATAAGTCTTAAAATTTCCTGATGCCCATTGCCTGCTGTTACAGCTTTCTTATTTGATAACCATATAAACATTACTAAATATGATTTGGGAGGGCAGTTTGAGAAGCACTCATTTAGCATTGCCTTTCTTTGTGAATCCCTTCAGAGTAAGCCACTCACAATGAATTTATATCAAGATAGATGATGGAACAGCTAAGCAGCCAAAACTGAGCCTTTGGGTCTTAAAACACTGGCTCAGTTTTGAAATTACATAGCAAAGAAAGCAAAAAAAAATCCAGGGAAATAGTGGTCATAGAAGCAGGAACTTACAGCTCTGCTTCCAGTTTTGCAGGCTTAACACTTGTTACAGGGGGGTTATGAAACAGTGTCACTTGTTTAGGAGGCTACTCTTGGTAGCATAAAGGGCCCCTTAGACTGAGTGGAACTGAGATACCCCATTAATCACTGCTTTTCTTTCTGTATCTCTGCTCTCTGAGATATGCTTTGTGTTGATTTGCCAGCACTGATGTACTTCTTTCATATCCAGCAAAGTACTTAGGTTCTGTATACAGAGCTTAGAAAATTAGATGCTTGTAAAGAAGAGCAAAACCAGCCAAAACTGTGATAAGGAAACATCCTAAAGAGCTGTTCTTCCATCAAGAAGGGTTTTTTTTTTAAGGACTGGAAGCAGGGTTTCTGCTTTTAAAACCTGGCCTCTGGAGGAGGTGCTGTTTGCAAACAGTCACCTTATTATTTGGCAGTTTACTGTTGAAGCCAGATCACTGGACAAAAAAGAACACAATTTTACGGGTCTGGAATGTACAACCAGGGGCAACTTTTGGATTGCACAAGGGTCCAGGGCAGGTCCCAGAAAACCCAACCAAAAGCCAACCTAACCTCACCCATTCCCATGCCTCAGCTGTTTACAGTCCTGTTTCTATGTGCCCCCTCATGTCTAACAGTCCTTATTCAGCATTCCATTTCTCTTTATTAAAAACAATCTGAAGAATAGAAAAACAGTCCATTCTAACAAACTTTTAAATGACAAATCATGCCTAAGATTTAGTTAAAAACTTTCCCTCTAAACAGCATGACCTACTTCTGTATGTTTTCCTTTACTCTGAGCAAGACTTTCCTCCCATTTGCACTCTGGAGTCAGGCGTGGTAAGGGTGGCATGCTATGGAAACGTACATGAGCTCTGTCTGATCAGTATGCTCCTGATCAGTGTCCTTGCATCTGCTTTTGTGCATCTCTTCTGTTGCCTCCTGATGCCCAGCTTTGCAGAGCAGGACGTTTCCAGCATATATTGTTTTATTCAATACAGCACTTTTTGCGTACAAAAGGGAAAGATGAAATCCAACTTTTCCACAACTGAATACATCTTGCAAGGGCTATAGAGTCAGATGGTGCTATTCAAAGGAGTGAAGTTTGAGAAAAAGGTTTTTTTTTTGGTTGAGTGTGTTTTCATTCATGGATTATGCCTACTATAAATAAAGTCACAGGATTCACTAACTCATCCTTTCTATTTTCTAGCTACTGGTGGGTGCAACTTACTCCAGCAGCTGTGGGTTCATAAGAAACTGCACATGTTGTCTGGCTTCTCTGTTGAAACTTGGTAAATGCTGTACCTTACCACCAAATGTATTGTTGTACTGCTGAGTTCTTAGATACTGTTCTTGCTGCAGCTTTTGAAAGCAATAAGAGATTTTCCACATACATAGTTGCCATATGTTAAATAATTATTTTAAGCAGTTCCTGTCATATATGAATTATGGATTTGATGGTTTTGTTGTATGAACCAGAACTGTATAAAAGTTTATGAGAATGTTTGGGAGGTTGATCCACAAGAGGTGATGAGCTCCTTCAGTGCCACACCTTGGAGATGGCTGGTATCCCTGAGAATCAGGCAGTCTTGTATTTATGTTAACAGTATTTTACTAGTTCCAGGACTGGAAATACATACCACATGTGTGAGGTATTGCATACGCAAAGCTGCTAAATGCTGAATTTGTTGTTTGTTTGGATAGGGCATTAGTGATTTCAGAATGAAGAAAGGTATCTCATGTGTTAGAATTATCACTGACTTCCAGATTTTTGAGACAACTTTCTGTAGTCAGGATTGTTCCTGGTTTCTTCTTTTACTCCAAAAACCTGTAACAATGTTGGAGCACCTTGGTGCACAAGTTGATTTATTATTTTTGTCTCTGTAACCAATTAGTTGGATGTTAATAAACCATACTTGCAAAAGGTCATAGAGCACCCTGACTTTTTCCCAAGGGTTGTAAGCATCTTCATCTTTTAAGTCTAGCTGCTGTAGTGATCTGTGCGTTTTACACTTCCCAAAATGGCAAGTATGAAAGAACTTCCATCTGCCAGAAGCCTTGTTCATCACTCTTACAGTCTGTCCTATAGTTGTGCAATGTTCCAGTTGTTTACCTGCACTCACTATACAGCACTGTCACATGGCTGTTATGCCTGACACTGGGGCAGGGCCAGGGTAAGCTGATGAAATTCATTTACAGCTAGAAGTTGTTTTTTAAAAGCAGTTTTTAGTAGACAGATGTGCAGCATAAATGTTACGCTTTTACCATGAATGTGGAAACCACAAACCACATAGTCATAAAACACCTTTAAAAAACGTGGAAACAGAGTATTTACTGGATAAAATAAATAACTGGAAGGAAATGGTATTCATGTGTTTTCTCCCTTAGAGATGGTGATTCAGGACAGCTCTGCCAGTGAGATTTCAACTACGTCACACCATGTCACCATATGTATATAAGATGCAATACAGATGGATTAGGATCTTGAAAAACATGGGAGTACAGTGAGTGTAATTCCTGACCAACCTATAAGTCCTGACTGCAGTTCTGCAGCACTTCCTAAGCTCAGTGTGTGCAAAGATTTGGTGGGAGGGAGCATGGAAGTTCCAGGAAGAGCTGGGAAAATTGGATCAATAAATCTGTTACCACACAAAATATCCTCTGCTGCTGTACATGGAGGAATAAGGATAGAGACTGAAAGAAAAACAAGTTTTTATAGCAGGCAAGAATCAGCTTCTGATTTTTGAAATCCAGCCATTTTGGTTCTATATTGGGTGAAGAACTTTGGAACTCGTTCATCATGTCAGTGGGAATCACTTCACTGCTGTTTAATTTCATAAGAGAACTAATGTGCTTAAAATGGCACCTGAAATAACCAGTGTTTAGTTCAAGTTGCTGGGAAAACCCCAGTTCACAGAAGCAGTAATATTTTTGTCATACTCATAAAAGGGAGAGGAAGATGGCACAGTGTGTTCCTTATTGGTGCCCTAATCACGAACACGTAAGGCAGTAGGAACTCCTCTTACAGAGAAATGGGTATGGAGTCAATTTCTCCGGATGGGCCCTTGAACTAATGACATGCCAAGTACCGACAATGTGGTCAGTGCTACTGAGACAAAACAGGCTGTTCTGCCCTATAGAAGGGTCGGGTAAGCTTTACTGGTATAGACCTTGCATTCAGTTTGTGTTTAAGGTCAGTTGCCTATTAATTTACAGTAACCTTTATTTTAAAGTCCTTTTGTTTACTGCAGAGTGATTCAGACCATCACAACATGAAGAAAACCACTGACAGCTGAGCAAAGCTTACTCTGCATCGTAACTGACACGTCTTGCCTTCTTTTTCTTCTTTTTTATGCCTCTGTTACATTCCTTTCCTCTTGCAAACATTGTTCCCCATGCTCAATTTGTTGATTTTTAACTTAGACACCCTCTTGTGCAGGGGATGCATAAGCATATGTGGGGTTATGCTGAGTTTTATGCTGGCCAGCTACCCAATTCTGCTGTATACTTATGGATTTGTATCTTTGCTTACTCTGTACCAAAGGAAATGTTAGAAATTGCTGTGTGCAAACCCTCATTTGAGGTAAATCTGCATTGCTCTACTGAGCTGAGTATAATGGAGGCTTAAGTTAACTGCGAATTTGACTCTGTGGGCTCATTTATGGAAGTTTTTACAGGATCTTGGAACAATAATAAATTCCTGGGAAACGAAATGTTGTGTAAGAACATCAGCTGATGTTTCTGTCTGTAGTTTCACAGACCTTGGGAATCGCTGTCTTTCTTTAAGTGTTAGGCACTGCTTAAGGATTTTCTGAGTTGATGGTTCATTTGATATTTTACTGAGACCAGAGAACCTGAAAATAAGGGTTTTTTTTTGTGTAGTTAACATTGGTTTTCTTTATTAAAACTTCAATAAAAACTGCTTTCCTAAATTACAAATTTCTTACTTTCTAACTTGCTTTGGAAAAAAACCAGGAAGCCATGATAAAAGGCTGCAGTAAATCTAGTCTGAATTACTGCAGTACATGCCTTGAAAAATCCTTTCCTCTTTCGGTTTTATGAGGGTATGTGTGCAATGTCTAGATTGCTGCCTAGAGCAAGGAAGATTATGTAGATCTATCAATAGATGAGAACCTGTCTAATAGCTGAGAAAGATTTACTGTTTTGTTTACTCTTAGGTTTGTTATTATTTCAGTCATTGACAGACTGAAGATGGAGTGAACTCAAGAGATACTTGTATTCAGTGTTACTTGTACTTCAGCCAATGAAACCAATCTTGTGAAAGCAACTAGAGCTATATAATAGCTATATAGGTATTTTGGATGAGACAATCAATTTTCTCATGAAGTTCAAAAACACTGCACCAAATTTTTAAGTCCTTTCATGGCAGAAACTTCTACTGAGGAATTTGCTTAAGAAAAAGCACCACAAGCAGGTCAGTTAGAGCAAAATGAGTTCTCTAGTTACCAGAGGATGCCTATTCTTAACTTGCTCCCTTCCGTTTTGAAGACAGAGTAAAACTTCAGCTAAAGTTGATGGAGGATAGGGAACTCACAGATATTATAGTCTCACCTTTTGTGAATAACAGAAACTGGAAGAGACCTGCAAGACACACTGCAAGAAAGGCCATAGTAGGAGCTTCACTATATTTTTTTCTAGCTGCAGAGCTCCCTAAAGTTGATGCTCATGTGAATGCTTTGGTCTTCATACCAATGGGGATTGTCTGAAATGATCGGGGAAGGGAAAGAGAGCAACGAATATATGTTTGTTGAAATAAGATTCTCAGTATTGAAATGCACTGTCACAAGGTCCTAGCTAAAAGAATGACTGCAGTTCATGCTTTCCCAGTACTGGTTGCTCACAGTTTCCTTTCACACAAACACTTCCTTTCAGGACACAGCTGGTCTTCCTTCTCTCTTAGAAACTGCACTCTCACACTGTGGTGTATTGGCAGTGGTGAGGCCTGACGGTAAGAACCAAATAAGCCCCAGCTCAAGCTGACTACGACCAGTTCTGGAGAAGGAAGCACATTCCTGTCTCCTGGTTGCAAAGAGAGTAGTCCACACAAGGTTACTTGATGCTACTCGCTCAAATCAGTGTGTTGTTCAGACAAACACAGGCAGTGTAAGCAGCAAGAACACCAGTTTCAGTCTATGATAGAGGAAAATAAAATGCATTTTTAATTCTCAGAGAGAACAGGTTTGTCTGTCAAGAGACAGAGAACTGACCTTGCTGTCTTTTGGGGCAACACTTGCATATAATAGAAGAAACTCCCATGCAATGACGAGCCCACACACTTTTCAGCCACTTGACAGCCCTTGCTCATTGTTTCAAAAAGAACTGTGTTCTTTTCATCCTGCTTCCCGTTAGTAGGGAAAAACCAGGTATGCTCTTACCCCAGTGTCATTGCTAAGAAAACCCTTCAAGCGCTGAAACTGGAGAGCAGCAATAGCAAGCTGGAAATTTAAATGGCTTTAAGAAGAACCATGGAGCCTTGGTTTCAATACCATCAGGGCTGAACTGTCAGCCCTGTGAGAAATAAGGTGTATTTTCCCTTTTGTCCTCCCTTGCAGCATGCATTTCCACAGCAGAAGGTATAGAGAGCCCCTGGAAGCTCCTGCTGCAGACCTTGGAAAGCTGCCCTGACTCACCTTGTAGTAGTAATGCAGCCTCGCAGGTCCTCAGGACCCTCTGGGGCCTCTGGCTTTGCCACTTGTGGTCTTCTCCTCAGTGCATGTGCTACTTTTGTAGGCTGTAGGTCTCTAGACAAAATTCTCAATCTCTTTGTGGGTACTTAAAAATGCATTTACTTTGTTCTCCTGGACAAAGCCCTTTCAAATTGCCCTGGAACAGGAACTGCAGTTGTTCAGTTCTGAAAGAGATAGAGCTGACAGCAGGTAGTGAGAATGGTGGCTAAGGAGTTTCAAATTAACTGGGAAATAAAACAAAGGAGGCACAAAAAACAAAAGGGAGAGACAACATTTGTTTTAAATCATGACAAAGCTATTGCTACAAATGTAGTAGATGAAAATGTGTCTGTTGTTATCCAATGAAATACTAATGTTAGCTTCGGAACATCTTGTGAGGTTTGACTACAGCCGCGCTCCAGTTCTGTGTCAGTGTAATACAAACACCATCCGGCCGTCTGCCTCGTGAGGAACAGCAATCACACACTGCAGGTTCTTTGGCAACTTCTGCCCAAACCATTTGCTCCTGCAGTGGGATAGGGAGTGCTTTTGAGGGCATACACACCCATTCCAGGGATGCTAGAGGAATTATGCGAACCAGAATAAAGGTGGGGAGCTGATAGAAGAAAACTGTTCTGACAGTCAGCTTTCCTCTCTCCAGGCAGCTTCAGTCACAGGCTCTTCCCTGAAGGCCATTTAACTCCTCTTGTTTTGCCAGTTTTGTCCTACAGTCTACGCATTCTTTAGATATGCTTTTCTTAGTTCTCCCATTCTCTGTAACTTTAAGGATGTCTGTAAATAACAAAATTGATATGAACTGCACTAACTTTAGGATCATGTTTTTTACTGACCTAAAAATGTGACAGTAGAACAACTATGAGTGGAAGTACTATTTATTAGATCAATATGTATTGTGTAATCATTTACAATCAGTTGTACCTAGCTGCCTCTTGTACTAGGCACTGTGCAACTACACTTTAAACAGTGCTATGTGCTGTACAGTCGTATTTTAAAGAGCCCTGCTACAGTGCTTACACTCGGAAAGGTGTATGTGTGCAGAGACACAGAGGTGAAGTGCCTCATTTTTTGGAGGCTCAGTGACAGGTATCCTCTGTTTGTAATGTTCCACTGAAAAAAAAAATCCTAATTATTTGTTATTTTAATACAGTTTGACTCTGTAGGTCCTGTTCTGATCACCTGCGAATGGTCAGCTCCATCTCTCTTTCAGAACTGAACAACTGGAATTCCTGTTCCATTCCTTTTGGCTAATTAATGAAGAAGGCCTGCTACTGAATAGCTTGAACAATACAGCAGTCAGCTGGTTTTTGATAAAACATTAATGAGCCCAGATGGTTCATAATCAGCTATTATGGAAAAAAGACTTTTGAGACACACAAGAAACGTTATCTATTCCCAAGTCTTCATTTTTTATTACTGTAAAAGAAATAATGTTCTGTGGCTGCCATCTCATCTACAGTTTAAAGTTAGAAGCATTTGGTTCATGCAGCTTCATGCAAACTGTCCTCCATGTTATTGTTGGAGAAATCACAAGATGACTCTTTAGGGAGCCACAATTGATGAAACATGATCCCAGCCTACCCTTTCTATTTTCTTAAAATCATGGTGAAATCATCAAATAATCACAAGGTTTTCATAAATGTTTAGAAATTTACAGTCACTCTACCCTAAACCACATCCATTAGCGATGAGAGCTTTCACAGTGACAGAAGGGAGCCCTGTGCCACAACACACATGCCAAAGGAAGGCAGTTAGGATACTGTTTCTCCCTCTCAGTACTTAAAAGCACCAAGATCTGGCTGAGTTACAGCAAAAAGGCTATGCTGAGTTATACTGCACACATCTGCCTCCTTCTGCATCCCAGTGTGGCACGCTCCAACTGTCCTTCAAAGGGATTAAAAGATCCAGACGTAAACCATTTTTTCCTCATATTGGTCCCTAGAGGTAGCAGAGATGAGCCTGACACTATAAGACAGCCTCTAAATAGTGACCAAACTCATCTCACTAGCAAAATCTTCAAGTGGTTAAAGATGTCACTTTCCTATCACTGCTGCCAAGGGCCGAATGGGCTTGGCCCATGTAAACAGGTGAAGAAATGCAGCAGAACAGTGCTCTGGCTGCTATGAACTCACAGGGCCCCCCCTTGCTTCCTGCACACTCCCTTTGGTCTCTCCTGAGCAGGACACAGCCACTCTCTCTTTTCTAAGCCTGTCCCTAGCTGCTGGCAGCATGGCAGGGCTGATGACAGCCGCAGCAGCAGGAGAGTCAGAAAGCTGTTGTGTGCAACAGGAAATGTTTTGGAGGACTGAATGCTACAGGCAAAAACTGCAGATCATCCCACCAAAACAGCTGATGAATTTTAATGTGAAACACAAATGAGGCTGGAGAGCTGATCTGAAACAAACAAAAACTGCTGCTCAGATCTTTTATTCTAGCAGAAAGAAACGGGGCAGGGGGAAAAGAAGTTTGTTCTTTGGCTGGTGATTTGGCTTATGCTGCTGGACACCTTAAAAAAGATTCGCTACCCAAGTATTCTTTTTTTCCTAAATAGAAGCCCAAAACAATTTCACACTTTCTTCCCATTTCCTCCACAGAAGAACTGAAGCCAGCAGACCCTTCTCCAGCCAGTGTGAGGATTTTAAAAGCTCTAGCATGCAGCAGCAGGGAGCTCTGGACAACCTCCTGACTCACCAATATGCGGGCAGAATTTCAGTGAGCACTTTCCAGCCAGGCTGAATGCAGCCCCAAAGAACTCATGACAGCTACAAGGCATTATGTGCCATTAGTACTGCTGTTAATACCAGCCCTGTGAATGCACTTAGAAAAGCTTTTTAGGATAGAGGATGAGACAAAAAAGTATTGCCATTACGAAACCCTCCTTTGCAGCCAATTTTGGACTTACAGCCCTGTGCCAATGGCTAAAAAGATAAGGCCATATTATGCCACGATACAAAACAAAACAAAGTACTGCTAAACGCTGGTAGGATGCAAAGCCCTTTCCTGTACCTGGCAGAAATAACCATTCTGCAATGCTGACATCTTGTGGTGGCCTGCTCAATGTTTTATTACCTTAGCATTACACTTGGGGAATTTCACACCCAACTATCCTGCTGTTTTTTTTCCTTTCAGACTACTATCTTTTGTGTTACTACCCACTTCTGTGCATTACTGATTTCTTAAGTTGTGGCTGTGAAGTTCTCATGTCAATTGTCTCACTTATTTACTTAAACGAAGTAGCCAAATCTTACCCTATACCAAAAAGCATGTTGCCCAAGAAGTAAAAAGTTTCTGGTTTTCTCCTTCTGCTCTTTCTTCTGTAAGACGGTCTTCTCATGCAGCAGTAATGCAGAGAATCTTCTAATGCAGAAGTGATGCACTTCATGCTCAGGAGATGGAGTGTGTGGCAGACAGATCCCAACACAGACCACAGTCAAATGTGTATTTCTCCAATATGATGTTCTCCCTGCTGGCATCCCACAGAGGCACGTGTTTTGACTGCAGTACACCTGAAGGGCGTTTCCACAAAGACTGAATGCTCAAGGTGGATGTTCAATCCCAAATGTCTCCTATTTGCAGCCAGTTTTGATAATAGTCTTCAAAGCCCCCAAGTTAATTGCTGCATAGCCCCAAAACTGTTTTCTAACACCCAGACACCTATGTTTCTGTCTTTTCTAATTAGAGAAGCATCTGAAAACTATCCTATATTGGCTTGTATCTTTCAAGTGGATAGATTCCTGCCCAAAGCTTTTTCTTGAAAAGATGGAAATATTCCTGGTGCGGGCACCCTTTATTTGATGTGCATGCAACAGATGGTAACATCCTTAAAATGACTAGCAAGTTTCACTGGTTTTATTTGTGTCCTCCTTCCCCAGTGAGTATTTCCATGGCAATGTGGTTCAGTGCAACTTCCTGCCTCGACTTCTCAAAATATGCTTTAGCAGACACTCGCATCTGAAATGAATCACACATTGCCACTCCCTGGAAAAACACATGACAGCTGATGAAATATGTGCTATTACTGGCCACTGTGGGAGATTATTGCTGGGGCTAGAGATTCTGCAGCTTGGTGCTGCTCCTAAAAAGAGTTCTCTTGAGGATGTGTGGGTGCTTTTCCTCAGGATGAGGCTCCAAGAGTGGAACTTAATATATATAGATATATTAGTCAGTAAAAGTAAATTATCACAAATGCAGATCTTAGTTCCATTTAGGCTATTTGCAAGCAGGTGCAACCCCAGAAGGGAAATCTACTTATCATTAGTTCACTAAGGATGTCATCTGGGGGAATCAGAAAGGAGCGATGGATTAAAATCTGCTGAGAATAATTGGAAGTTTTGGATAATGAATATAGTTAAACAGAATGGAAGAAATGGGTGTGTTTTCTTTTTTGCTGTATTGCCTGCTACCTCTCACCCAAGACTGTTCATTTAAGGACATGCAACTTTCAACATCCGTTTGCTCCAAAGCCCAGGTGTTACTCCATTAAGAGGTGGTGATGTGACACTCATGACTGTACCCTGAAGCTTTAAATGCCCTCTTCAACCCATAAGGGGAGTACCTGGCCTCTGGCACAGTTCGCCTGAACAAGATTTCTTTGGTATCTATTATCCTGATAAACTACTCCTTGGGTTTCTGCACACACTCATCTGTTTTTCACTGGCTCACTCCTTTCACATCACAAACAAGTTGCTTCATTCTCATGTTGCATTACTTTCAGAGGGCTGTGATACAGTGAGGCAGGTCAGTACTTCATGCTGTGGCTCATGAACCTGACCCTATGCTTCACTGATCATGTCACTCATTTTCTGCAGTGCTCCTGTTCAGGGGCTCTGGACTGGGGATTTTGGCTTAGAATCACAAAATCATAGAATGATTTGTGTTGCAAGGGACCTTAAAGCTCATCCAGTTCCAACCCCTGCCATAGGAAGGTACACCTTCCGCTAGAGCAGGTTGCTCCAAGCCCCATTCAGCTTGGCCTTGAACACTGCCAGGGATGGGGCAGCCACAGCTTCTCTGGGCACCCTGTGCCAGTGCCTCAGCACCCTCATGAGGAAGAACTTCTTCCTAGCGTCTAATCTAAATCTCCCTTCTTTCATTTTAAACCCATTATCCCTTGCCCTACACCTCTACATGCCCATGTAAAAAGTCCCTCTCCAATTTTCTTTAGGCCCCCTGTAGGCACTGGAGCTGCTCCAGGCCGAACAAGCCCAGCTCTCTCAGTGCTCCAGTCCTCTGTGTACCTTCATAGCCCTCCTCTGGACTGCAGGTCCATGTCCCTCTTGTGTTGGGAGCCCCAGAGCCAGATGCAGCACTGCCGGGGTGGGGGCTTGTCTCATGAAAGCCAAGTAGAGGGGTATAATCACCTCCCTTGTCCTGCTGGTCACACTGCTGATGGTGCCGGTCAGAATGCAGCGGGCTTTCTGGGCTGCGAGCTCACGCTGCCACTGGGAAAGCTCCTGTTTGAACCAGGACAACTATACAAGACCAAGAGTGCTAACCCTGAAGCTGCACACTGGCAGCCAGGGCTGTTGCTCCCAGCAGATTCTAATCACAGGCCACTGACCCCCTGCACCTATGACCATGGGTGAAGTGAGCTAGGTTTGAGAGGATGTCCCAAAAATTTCCTTTATAATTGCATCACAGAACATGTCAGTCAATTGTAACTAAAGAGAAGAAGTTGCCTGTGTTATTTGACAGGAAGCAGCCATGCAAACCCAGCTTTCCATCGCCTTGGGGAGCTGATAGGCACAACCGAGCCCTCCACCTCAGCCCCTGGCAGGCCACACCGGGCAGCCCCACACAGAGACCTCCAGCTGGATGCCCTGCGTGCAGCCACCTCACGCGGCACATTCAGCCCGCCGAGATGATGAGGCAGACCCGGTGCAGGGAGGCAGAAACCGCCCCGGGGTCTCGCAGCTGGACAGCGACAGCGCTCCGACCCTTGGCCTGGGCCGTGTGCTGCGGCGGCGTTCCGGAGCGGCAACATGGCGGCCACGCCTCGACCACTGCCCCGGGCGCAGCCACCGCGCCCTCCCGTGCGGCCTGAGCACAGGCGGGGCTTGCACGGCTCCCGCCTCACCGCGCCGGCCGAAGACCTCTCCGGTGCGCGGGTCCACCGGGCTACAGCCAGAGCTTCGCCCCCGGCACTTCTCCTTGGGGCGCGGCTCGGTCAGACTGGGCACACCCCGCGGGCGGAGCTCGCCCCATCCTCGGGGCCCGGCGGCGGGGATCGACGGGAGAGCTGTGAGTACGGACCGGGCCCGGCGGTGCGGTGTAGGCCAGCGGGGCTTCGGTCTACTGTGTACCCCGGCCGCACCCGAGCAGATGGGTACTCGGGAGGAGCCGCCGCGGCAGCCTCGCTGCGTGCCGGATCTCTGCTCTTCTTCCCCGCCAGCTCCTGCGTGCCCTCTGGCAGAACGAGGCGGAATGGCCGCAGTTCATGCGTGGGGGGTTTGTGTGGGGTTTAAGCATTAAAGGAGTGATGAGGGGCCCCTCGCTCAGCTACCTCAGCGCAGGCCGGGACGAGGTGGTCAGTGCTTTGCTCATGAGGGACAAGGACAGCTTTGGGCTGAGCCCAAGTTGTGCAGCTCCCACCACAGGCCTCGCACCTCCACCTCGCAGGAGGCACCCGGGGAAGGCTGCGGTGTCGCCCTTGGGTGCCATGAGCTGCTGTGGTTCTGTGCAGCGTCGAGCCTCTGGAGGCACATGCTGTGAAGCCATCAAGACACAAAAGAGGGCTGCCTACAGCACTAAAGTGTACTGGTTTGTAAGGCATGCACTCAAGGACTGAAATTTCTTGTGTGAACATCACTTTGTGTATTGGCTTTTGTGGCTGTTTTTTAATTTACAATCCGTAGAAAGAGGAGGCGAAAATAACCATGAGTTTTTGTAATAAAACACATGTCCTGCTTGTCATCACTTCCATGCTTTAGTTGCCTTTTGATGTAAACTCTGAGTTCACTGGGATTCAAAGGCTGTCACTGTTGCTGCGCAGGGGAGTTAACCCCCAGCAGCTCTCCTGGCACTGTAGCTCCTCTGAGGTCACCTTTGGCTTTAAGGGGCTGTGTTTACTTACTACTAGGATTGGCAAGGTATGTGTTGGCATTTGGTAGCCTAGTTGTCACTTTCTTCCCAAATTCCCTGTGTACGATGCCTGGTGTGCTGGGTAGTGTTAAGTTAAGGGGGGGGGGAAGCTTTACTGTGTTTTTTTAAAGGTCAGTGTATGTATATACAGAATGTAAGAAAAGTCAGGCAACTGTTGAGAACTTGCTTTTGTGCTGACAAAGGTAAACACTGATTATTCATAAAATGTTTCTTTGGCTCTCATGTCTCACTATATTGAGTTAGGGAGCTCTGATAAAGGAAAGAAAAGGGATATTATTTGTTTATAAGTAGACAATGAAGATGCTGTAAATATCTTCACTTGATCTCATTGCTTTCATTGACTACTCTCCCTGTATCCCAGGTCCAGGCTAATTAATTCCTTGGTAGCAAGGAAGGTGCTCCTCCTTCCTTTTCTGCTTTCATGCCTAGCTGTAAATCTGCAAGAGTAAAATCGCTCTGACAGGCTCTTTCTACCAGCTTTGATACCTTCCTTTTAATTTTACTAGGCCAAGCACAGCTCTAGCAAAATTTCCAGAGGAAGAAGCACCAAAGGCAGAGTTTTCTTGATGCTGTGTCCATAACTGCTCCGTGTCTGTTCAGTCAGGACTCCTTACATCCTGGTAGCTGTATTAAAACTCTCTGATGTCAGCTCATGCACATTCAGTTGCCCTCCATCCTTGAGTTGTGAACTAGTGAAACAAAGTGTTTGGGTGCATTTTAGAGTTTGTGTTAAAGGCACTGTATCCAAGGAGACACAAACAGGAATTTGGATAGAATATTCTTGCTTTGCAGGTACAGCTGCACCAGCAATTATGCTCCCTGCAAAGACATTCCCAGTACAGCAAAGTGTGGGAGACACCAGCACTATTATTGTGAGGCAGAAGACAGTCCCATCTCTCCTGCCTGGTGAGTCTCAGCAGTCCTCATAAGCACTCTGGTGTTTCCAGGGTCTCCTTTTTGCTAATCAGAAGCACAGTGACTGGGAGTGAAGACAAACCAGCATGAAACAGAGGTTTGTGGGATGGTGTTAATGGTTCTTCTCATGAGATTTAGCGAGTATGTAACTCACAGGAACTGGTTTTTGCAATCTGTCTTATCATAAACTCAGAAATTGGTGGGCTTTTTTCTTTCCAGAGGCAATGCCTATGTGAATCGGGTATCTAGGAGTGGGATCAGAATGAATGAACCGTCATGTAAAGAACAGAAATGTTAGAAGAAGGTTCTGCTAGGGAAGAGCAGCTAATGCAGGCCATGAGAATTTTCTTAATGGTCCCTTCCATTACACATCGGTCATCTGGCTGGTGGTAAAATATTGTTTCACGCAAAATAAGTCCCAGGGAAAAAGAAAACTAGTTTCGGGGTCTGGTGGGGGATTGGTTTGTTTGTGTGGGGTTTTTTTTCTGCTGCAGTGGAGCTGCACTGCTTATTCTGTTAAAGTGTTCTCACTGAGGTTAGTGCCAGGGAAATTCAGGAGGATTAATTTAAGAATGAAAAAAAAAATCAATCTCAATTCAGAGTTTAGGAAAAGGTCAAAGAGAAGACTGCTGGGAATTTCTTTTCCACAAGAAAGCCAGTGGGAATATTCTCAGTACATATAGCTGAGCCTGTGCTGCATGTTTGTGGCAGCCACAATTACAGTGGAAGTCCCAGAAGACTCTTCAGTGAAATGTTATTTGGCTTTGACATTGTTGAAAACCTTTCCATGCAGGTGTCGTTGGGAAATATCCTTTACTTGCTTATATAGAGAACTAAGTGTAGGCCACAGGGGTTTCATGAGGAGGTAGATACCTCAACATGAATTGGTAAATACTGTGTGCAGTGCTACCTGAAATGGGATTTGGGAAAAGCTAATGGAAAGTAAATTTCCATCTGCAGAAAGGCTTTTCTTTTTTCTCTGTCCTCCAACTGATACTGCAACATGGAGCCTGTGGACCAGCCACTAACAGTCTTTATTCAGTGTTCCATTTTCTCTCAATAATCCTGAAATACCAGGTTTTGCTCGAAGTCTGTTCTAATTATTCTGGCTTGTGTTTGTAAATGACAAATCTAACATTTCTGTGAAGCAGGTAATTAATTACAAATGTGTGGATACCCAGCTGAGACATCTTGTGATCTTAGTTAAACTTTCTAGTCAGTGTCAGATGGGGGATTCAAAGAAATGCTGCCAACTTTAAAAGAAAATATTTAATTATGGAAATATGATTACCTCAAATAACACAGAGTTGAAATTAAAAAAAAAATTAGGTTTTTTCAAAAAAGATCAAAAATTATATTATTAGAATTGTGTTTAGCACTTGTGAATAGTCATTTTTACCATTTCTCCTGTTTGTTTAGCCAGTGTCCCATATTGAAAAGCTTCCTTGTAGATACAGCAAAATGCATTGCTTAGGATAAAGAAACCCTTACACAACAAGAGGTGCAATCATTTCTTAATTCAAGGCATTTAAAAGCTAGAATGAGATAATGTATGTAGCAGTTTAGCAGACACAAATAACAGTTGCAAGTACCATATGTTCAATTTAGCTGTAGTTATGCTAATGGAAAGCAGAAAATTGGGAAACACCGAATGTAGAAAGGTTCAGAAAGAACAAAATTAATTGGGACTTTTCAGAGGCAGAGTTCAGAAACAAAACTTGGGGACAAAGATGCCAGCACAAATATTTGTTGCTTTTTACAGAGAATTGTTATTATCCCTCCATGTGTTTACTTGCTATTAAAAGGATCAAGATAATTTGTGTGAGTAATAACCCCCAGTTACCATATACAGAGTAAGATAACTTTATGTTAGGTAATAAAAGAAGGATTGTATGGGGAGGCAGAAATCCTCTGCCACTGGCCTGGTGCTCTCCTCATCCCAGCCAGTCTCTGCGGGGTGCTCATTAGCAGATGTGTTTTCTTGGGATTTCAGGTAACCTGTGTAAGTTTTTTTTTCTCCCCAGCTGATGAATTAATTACCTGTAAGTGTTCCTTGAAGGAACTTTTCAGGTGTACAATGGAATATTTGTGTTCTCACCCATTTGTTTTTTTTCCTTTGTTGTCTGCATGACCATAAATTTAATGCATTATTATTGTAATGTTTAAGCCTCACATTTTGTGTCTGCAGTGCATTATTCTTTGCTTATTCGCTGTTGCTGATTTCAAATTTTAATTACAATTCTTTCATCTGTTCCTATGAAAACCTTTTTACTTTGGGATAAGTGGTTTGAACTGTTATGATCCCCAGTTCTAAGTGGAGAAGATGGGGTGAAAACATTAGCTGTTCCTGTATTATTATTTATACTATGAAGAAAATCTTAAAGTGACAATATGCATATTTATACCTTCCAGCTGCAGTTATTGAAAAGCAGATGTATTCTTTCAGGCTTCAATTGATTCCCCAAGATGTTTGCAAAAGCAACAAAGAATTTTGTGAGAGAAACTGACAGTGGAGGTGACTTAATCCCTGTCTCCCACTTGAATGCCTCAGACAAGCTGCAACTTATGAGCTTAGTCACGAAGAGAAAGAAGTTCTGGTGCTGGCAGAAGCCTAAGTATCATTTCTTGACAGTCACCCTGAGTGATGTGCTTACTGAAGACAAACCGATCAAACCAGGTAAAGCCATACATGGGCAGGAGTACTACTGCAGATAAAAAGAATGCAAAGCCTGATCTTTTTTGTTGTTATTCTCAATCGTGTTACTAGGGGGCTCCTTTCAGAGGAATGCTCTGAACTATTCTCTGTCCATGTAAATGAGATGACTGGATCTTTTATCACTTGATTAGTCATTTAACTAAACCCAATAATAATAACTGTTAAGAAAAGATAGGTAATGTTTTGCCTAGATAGACTACTGAAATTATGTGCCAAAGGTTGTAAAGCCGTGCAGTCATACTGTTTAACAACAGTGCTATCTGTAGACACAGGAACTAGAATACTGCTGGGGGATTTTAGTCTGTGATGATAGTGTGAAATTATACTGTGCTCCTGATCAAAAAGCACTGGATAAACAGCATCTTGGTGGTGACACTAGCACAGGGAATGTTTGTACAGGCAAGGCAAATCAAGTTTTATCTCTGCTTCCTTTCTTCTTGTGCATACTCTTAACTGTTGACCCTTGTACTTCATTCTTCATCCAGCTGCAGTGGTCCTAACCAGGTTTTAGGATTAACAGTCTGGAATCCCATACTTCTAGGTGTGGCACAATTCCACACAAGAAAATAGATAAGTCCCTAAATTGAGATGTTCATTGCAGCTGGCTTGGAAGATTAGCTGGTGCTGAGTCAGTTATAGGTGCCTAAGACTCAGAGTTGTTTTAAGCCAGTTGGATGCTTCTGTTGGTTTTCAGTGAGCTTTGGACAGCCCTGTAATGAGATATGTCAAGATAATGGTAAGATATTAAGCCTGCTATACAAGCAGCTCTGCTTTGCAGTTTTTCTTTGTAGCTGAAATAAGTTTCAGTTATTCTTTATGATTTTTCTATAGTGTCTGAAGTTAGCATTTCAATCACCTTATGTTTTCCTAAAATGGCAAAATATAAAAAGTAGCAGAGTGAAGATGATGAAAACGTAGAGGAAGCAGGAGTTGCAGAGCTGTAAATTTCATTATTTACCTGCTCAGTACTGTTTGCCTTCGCTAACTTGTCATATTTTCTGTAAGTTGCTGTTTTTCCAATCAATTCAAGACCATTTCAGCACTTCTCTTCACAAGCAGAAATCACTTTTATTGCTTTCCTAGTAATCGTGGAGTCTGACTTTGCAAAATATATGGGGAAGTTTGAAGATTCTGTTCAAGGAAGCATTGAAACTTCATTTGGAAAGATCAGCCTGGAAGCTGGAGGAAAGGGCTATGTGGAAAACCAGTCCTCATTTGGAAACCTAAGGAAGCAGGAGATTGACTTGCAGCAGCTTATGAAAGACGTCAAGGACAGGTATGTTTTTAATATAGGTGCTGTAATGGCTCGGAAGGATTACTGAGCTGAAAAGGCTTGGGCTAGCTGTGATCACCAAACAATTGATTCTGCAGCGTTGCCATAGCTTGAGAATTATTTTTAATGTAACCTCTCATTTTTAGGTGATAAATCATACATACAAAAATGAACATTTCCAGACTTGGAAAGCTTCGTGGTCAGACCTTTCCCTTTCTTTTTAAAAACATCTCTTTGCAATTTCGTCTTACGTATTTGCATGAATTGCCTTGTGGAACAAAAGCCAAATCCTCACTTTGTTGGGGGACTGTACTGAGGTAACAATCTAGGAAAAAATTGATTGGTTTCTCTATGCTAGTGGTGCAAATGCTATGGAAACTGAATTCAGTGCTACTTATGTTGTTCTAGCAGGTTTTATAATTGTGTATGTGTGTGTGAGCCACTGTACTAGACAAGTTGATTATTTGAAGTTGAGGGAATAGCAAAGGTGAGCCAGCATGGTCCACCCATGTTCTACTAGTTGAACAAAATGTAGTTTATAGATCTACATAAGAATTAGAATGAAGAACCACCCACTGTAGGATAATATCAAGTTCAAGACCATCTACAGAACCTGAAGGTGCACAAGTTCATCGTGCAGAAGGCCTGATGAGGTGTGTCCATGGGTCCTGAGGGAGTGGTGAATGTAGTTGCTAAGCAATTATCCATAATATCTGAGAAGTCATGGCAGTCTGGTGAATTTCCTACTGACTGGAAAAAGGGAAATATAGCCCCCATTTTTAAAAAGGGAGGAAAGGAAGACCCAGGGAACTACAGGCATGTCAGTCTCACCTTGGTGCCTGGCAAGATCATGGAGTAAATCATCCTGTAAACTGTGCTAAGGCACATGGGAAATGACAAGGTGATTTGTGACAGCCAGCTCATGGCTTCTTCACCAAGGCAAATCATGCCTGACAGATTTGGTGGCCTTCTATAACATGGTGACAGTTTTGGTGGTTAAGGGAAGAGTGACTGACATCATCTACCTGAACTTGTGCAAAGCAAAGTTTGACACTGTCCTGCATGGCGTCCTTGTCTCTAGATTGAGGAGGCATTGATTTGGTGAATGGACCACTGGGGGGATAAGGAATTGGCTGGATGAACACAGTCAAAGAGTTGTGGTCAATGGCTCAGTATCCAAGTGGAGATGATGATGAGTGGTGTTCCTCAGGGTTGAGACCGATCCTGTTCAACATCTTTTGTCGGTGACATGGACAGTGGGATTGATGCACCCTCAGCAAGTTTGCTGTCGATACCAAGCTGTGTGGTTCAGTTGACACGCTGGAGGGAAGGGATGTCATCCAGAGGGACCTTGACAGGATCAAGAGGTCCTGCCAGTGCAAACCTCATGAAGTTCAACAAGGGCAAGTACAAAGTCCTAGGTCAGGGTAGTCCCAAGCACAGATACAGACTGGGCAGAGAGCAACCCTGAGGAGAAAGACTTGGGGATTTTGGTTGATGAGAAACTGAACATGAGCCAGCAGTGCACACTTGCAGCCTAGAAAGCCAACCGTATCCTGGGCATCATCAAAAGGAGTGTGACCAGCAGGTCAAGGGATGTGATTCACCCTCTCTGCTCTCTTGAGACCCCAGTTGTAGTCCTGTGTCCAGCTTTCCAGCACAAGAGGGACGTGAACCTGCATGAGCAAGACCATAGGAGGCCACGAAAATGATCAGAGAGCTGGAAAACCTCTGTGGAGACAGAATAAGAAAGCTGGGGTTATTCAGCCTGGAGAAGACTCCAGGGGGACCTTATATCAGCTTCCAGTACCTAAAGAGGGCCTACAAGAAAAATTGGAGAGGGACTTTTTACAGGGGCATGTAGATACAGGACAAGGAGAATGGCTTTGAACTGAAAGAGAAATTTAGATTAGATGTTAAGAAGAAATTCTTTGCTGTGAGGGTGGTGAGGTGCTGGCACAGGGTGCCCAGAGAAGCTGTGGCTGCCCCATCCCTGGCAGTGTTCAGGGTCAGGTTGGACGGGGCTTTGAGCAACCTGATCTAGTGGAAGGTGTCCCTGCCCATGGCAGGGGCCTGGAACTGGATGAGTTTTGAGGTCTCTTCCAACCCAAACCATTCTATGATTCTATGATCTATTGCTCATTGTTATACAGTAATACAGCTACAGTAGTAGCTGAGGGGAACTATAGTATTAAATTTACAAGGTACGCAACACTTCCTGTCTGACTCTGAAATCATATTTATTTAATCTTGCAATAAGACAGTCATGGACCAAAACCTACTTGGCAATCAGACGACAAGTCAGGGATCTACTCTGTATTGCAGGTCTTGGCTTGTGGGAGATGAGAGTGGTTGGTTTGTTACAGCATTGTACCTTAGATCTGTAGCAGGTGCTGTAATGCATTTTAATAGCCTTTGCTGATGCTTTGAAGATAAAGTTGATAGGTTTTTGTTATCAGTGCAAAAGTTGTTAGGAGCATTGTAAATTTGCTTTAGATACACTGATGTTCTAGAAAGAATCCATTTTCACGGGAACAAGTGGCTGCTGTTCTTTGTATCATGAGCATTCACGAGTCAACAGACTTATTCTAATAAGACACCCTGCTATCTCTGCACTAAATGCTTTATTAAAAGCAGAAAATATTGGGCTGAATGTGCATACCAGGTGTTTAAAATTAGGATGTATCTAGTACCAGAAAAATAGTGTCAGGATTTAGGTAGAGCCCTATAGAAGAACAAATCAGAATAACTTTGATTTAGATCAGTAAGCTTTTATTTAGCTTCCTGCAGTGAGTTACCTTTCTGTTCAAACAAATAATCCTCCCATAGCAAATCAGATTTACTTCATCACATCTTGGGATTATAACCCTGCATGTAACTACATACTTAGAAATATAGTGTCTTTTTGTGTGTGTGTAAAATCAGTAGCCCTGCACCAATCTGAATACAGCAGTAGATGAGGTTAATCTGTGTGCCTCCTAGCTACAAGGAGCTAGTTCTTAGTTCATAGAAAAGATGCTCATAGCTTATTAAAGCTTATTATGCAAAGTGCATAATTGATACCCAGTCAGTCTGGCTTCTGCCAGGTCACTGGAAATGATGAGGATAGCAGAATGTAAATTTCTTCAGCATAATGTTGGAGCTCACTGGAAATCATGTTAATGCCTTACAAATGAAATCCCAGGTACTCATTCATAAATATTCTGTGATTTATGGTGGATTCTGTCCAAACTTCTGGTTTTTGTCTTGTTCATGGAGCATTGTGTGGAATACAGGAATTCAGCATTCTGGAGTGCTGGCGCCTACAGATTAGTGATTTTTGGATGCAAGGCATCCAAAGATAGATGCTTGCCCATCAGTACTTGTGAGAGGAGAGTCAAGTAGGTATTTTTGTTGTCATCGAATGACAAACATTCCTTATGCTTGTTTGATCAGTTACTGTTCTGTTGATTATTCCTACACATACAGTGTAATCAAGTTGCATTTCCAATGTTGTTCTTGTATTAGGCTGTTTAAATGGAAGTTGCAGATAAGTAGCAGAAAATTCTAAAACAATGCAGCTGTGCCTTCTAAACTAAGTTGTGAGTGTTCAAGGTTCAGCAAGCTGCAAGTCCTCAGTGGCAGCAAATCGGGCTCCTGTCACTTCTTAGGTGAACCTTCTGAAGGAGAGTCCTACTGATCATTTAATTAGATTCCAATGCCGCATTGCCTCCTGTTCTGAAAAGGAATAACAGCTGAAGGGTGCAGGATGAAATCCTGCCTGCTTTGCAGAAGCAGTGACATTGTAAATGCAGACCACACTTGTTAACATAATACACAATTTAAAAATCAAGTTAAATAGTACTTTTAGTTATATAAACTCAGCATATTTTATTTTACATTATTGTTTTTCATACTACAGTGTGGTTGCTAAATCACAGAGTACTGTAGCATACTGATCTCAGGTCAGAGTTGTGTGCCTTTGACTTGGTGAGATTGCTCTCAATTTAAGAGTGCATTCCATCTTCTTTTTTAAGGCTTTCATCATTCCCTGCCATAAAATTCTCATAGAGAAGCTGATAATGTACGGGCTGGATGAGCAGACAGCTGGATTGAAAACTGGCTGAATGGCTGGGCCCAGAGCATGTAGAGCAGTACTACAGTCTAATTGGAGGCCAGTGACTAATGGTGTACTCCAGGAGACAATACGGGGTCCAGTCTTGTCTTCATTAGTCATCTGGGTGATGGGATTGATGAGTGTACCCTCAGCAAGTTAGCTGGTGGCAAAAAACTGGGAGTCCTTTGTGAACAGTCCAGTCAGAAATTCTGCATCTGCAAGACCCTCAGTCTCTGCTGTAGAGTTTAGAGCAGGCTTCTGCTCTCTCTTCTAACTGTGAGAACCTGCTCTGTTGCCAGATGTTGTCTGTTTTCTCTTGCCTTCCATGGTGTTTCTGCCTTTCTTCCTACATTTCTTCTTCCAGACTGCAGCAAATTGCATTTGTGCCTCTATTTTCCACTGCTTTCCTCATGGTAGAAGAAAAAGGTTGAATGAAAGTGAAGAAAGCCTTTGCGTTATAGGAGAGGAAGTATTCAATCCGATTACATGTGGAGAGACTGTGGTCAAAACTCAGATTCTTTTCTGTTCATATTTGACCTGCAGAGCTTCCAGTACAATAAATCACTGACATCAGGAAGGTTATTTAAGCAGAACAAACAATAAAAAACCATAATCTTTATCTTTTAAACGATCTATATTTACACAGGCTCATACTCTGTTGATAATGGGACTTAGCAAGCAAACATCTCATTGTATTTTATATAATAACTTCTTATGTAGTAACTTTTGAGTGCTTCAGCTCAACTTTTCAAGGCTGGAAGGAGTGTGGTGATGTAGTACAGGTCATGCGAGATCTGTGAGGGCTTCTGTACAATAGATGGTGAAAGATGATGAGAGTGATGATTGTAGAACAGAAATAAAAGCTCTGAAATGTGACCTGTGAAATAAAAAGCATGCCATGCAATTTGTGTGCCTGCATGCGTGTATTCTCAGGGATTTAACTGAGCCACCCCTTGTTATTCAGGTATGTTCTTGATATTCAGGGTGTAATGCTGGCAAATGAGTTCAGCTCTTGCAAAAATACACGTGCAGATGCAGTGGCCATTACCCTGCAATAACTTAAGCCCTGCTCAGATTGTCAAACTTTAACCCTGTTTCATTTTGCTCTTGATGACTATTTTCAGTGATGATTTAGATAAGCTGGGTATTTGTTTACCTCATGTTGTCTCTTGTTTGAGTTGCTGAGAATAGCAGAATGGTTTACCTTCCACAGGCTGTGCTGCAGTAGTAACTTATGATGTGCCCACACACAGTCCTGGAGTCCAAGGGGTTTTACGATAGAAAGTTCAGTGCCAGGAAACTAGAGGAGAGCATTTAAGTGTGCTGTCCTAAAATAAAAGGTATCTGTAGCTGTGGTAGGGTTTTAAAGCTCTGAATCTGGTACTCACTAAACCGAGTGGGAAGAGGAGAGCATTTCTGTGGGCTTTACAGTTAGATGTATCCCACTGAAGTAATTTGAATGTTGATGCTGAGGCAGTGGCTGTGTCTCTGACACACAATGCAGCTCTGAGTAGAGGACTCCAAAGTTACCTGTGAGACATAGTGCCTGTGGGAGTGCTGCATCAGGGACAGAAGCAGGTAGCTCTGTACCCTTGTTTTAGTGTCTCTGAGTAGCCTCCAGTGCTGTGGCCGCTTATGCAGCATTGCCTCATTCTGCAGCAGGCTTGTTTTACCTGTCTGTGTCTTCTGACTCCTTCACTCTGCCACTCTGCTGTTAGTTCTGCATCTGAATCTCAAAGTCAGGAGCATGAGGGGGTTTGAGCCAGTCCTACCAGGAACATAATAATCTTAGAATGAGCTAGGTAGGAAAAGACCTTTGGGATTGTGAAGTCCAACCATTACCTCAGGACTGGCAAGTCCACCACTTAATCATGTCACTGAGGGCTTTATCTACACAATTTTTGACCACTTCCAGGGATAGTGATTTCACCAGCTCCCTGGGCAGCCTGTTCCCATACCTGACTACCCTTTCACTGGAGACATTTTCCCTAATATCTGGTCTGAACCTTCCCTGGCTCAGCTTGAGGCCATTTCCTGTTGTCCTACCATTTGTTACTTGGGAGAAGAGACCAGCCACCTTCTCTCTCCACTCTCCTTTCATGTAGTTGTAGAGAGCAATAAGGTCCCTCCCAAGCCTTCTCTTTTCCAGACTAAACACCTCAGTTCCCTGATGTAAGAAAAAGTCTCTTGAATTATTTTGGTACTTCATTTTGATAGATTGAAATCATATTCTATACAATTCTTATGTTAATGCTCCATCACACCCAGCAAATCTCAATTTAATCTGCATTTTTTAACTTTTGATTATTTTGTTTCTTTTGCTGGAACTTTCAGGAATATCTGGTGATTTTGTCTTCCTTTAAAGCAGGAAAAAAATAGATGAAAGCAAATGACAAATTGCTTTTGTGCTTCTTCATTGCATTTCTTCTGTGGTTTCTTAGGTCAAATGTTAAAATTGCAAGTTCTTACTGCATTAGTTTGTATTTTCAAGATGCTTAGCACACCTCTTCAGAATCATAATTACTGTGAAGTGTATGATAGGCTTGATGGTCTGTTATGCTGATAACTAATAGCTCTGGGTTGGCAGACACTTTTAAGAGCAGCGGTGTTTGTGATTGCTCGACATTTCTTCAATTTTTGCTTAATCCAAAGATTCATTGCATTCCAAGCATAAAGCATGGCTCAGCACCAAAAGAGAAAGCATCATATTAATAAGCTCAGGAATGTTTGGGGGGGAGGGGGGTGGTGTTCTGATGGCTGTTGCATCGCTTCAGAGGTATTTTCTTTCCCTTGGTTAAACAATCAACTTTAAGGTTTCCAGACAGTTCATTCCAACTGATTGAACTTTCATATAAGCATTAAGTCTCCAAAGATCAAAAATTGCCTCAGGATATTTTTAATTTAATAAAGACCCAAGCTGACTTCGGACTTATGCAGACTGCATAAATCCAAACCTCTAGAATCCAATAAATCTAAAACTTTTTAATTATGAAGATATCTCTATTTAAACAAGGCCGAGTCAGACATGGCTTCGTCGCTTTTTTGGGGAATTGCCATTTAGCTCCATGCATAAATGCCATTTACAGTAATAGGGAGGAGAAAAGACTGAATAACTTGAGCCAGGGATAGCAATCTTTTAATCTTTCAACTGTCTTGCTCAAGTTACCTGTTCCTAGAAAATCTGACATCTCATCTGAGGACCTCCACTGGGTATTTTGCAAAGTTATACTGTAACTGACACATTTTAGTCAATTAGATAGAGTTAAGAAGTTGCTTTGACTGTGACCAGAAAGCCTATTAACACCCAGAAGCCAAGGTAGTGAATTTTGTCATCTTTGCTTAGAAAATAATCCTTTCTCATTGTTCCTGGGAGTTCATTTTCTTAGATGGAGCAGAAGAACCTAACTTTAAGAAGATCTCCTGCAGCATCTTAACACACACGGAATTATGGTGTGTGGTAGGGATGACAAGTTGGAGGCAAGAGCTAGAGACTTGAGGTCCCTTCAAGAGTTAATTTTTCTTTTGACTGTGACAGTCCCAGTCATTAACTGCAGATTGTGATGCTACACTGGGGAATAACACAGGAGTTTATAGCAGGTGGGCTTGGGTTGTTTTTTTTCCAGTCATCTTTTCCAGTTCCAAAATCCATGACATCTCTTCTGTTTTCTCGTCCAGCCCTCTGAAGTACTTGATCCGTGCTGATCCCACTCAGCCAGCTCAGGGCCTAAGTGAACACTGAAAGAGATGCATGGCAAGGTGTGAGGCTTGGCATTGAGGTAATTAGTCTCTTAGTGTGGTGTTCATCCCTCAAGGAGGAATTCTGGTGACTCAGAATTTGGTGGCAGCGTGTCAGGACACTCCTTTGTCTGCGCAAGGGCCTTCAGATGCCAAATCAGCAGTTCCTAGTGGTGGTCACCCCAAACTGTCCTAGTCCAGGTGAGTCTGGACATCAGCTCTTGGGCGTAAAGGAGCCCATGTCACCTCCCCTGCTGAGGAGCACTTGATGGCATGCCTGTGACAGGTAGAAGGATGTACAAAGACAGGGGTGATGGGACTGACTGGTGACAAGGACATAAATGAGACTCAGTTTGGCCACATGGCTGGGACGTGGTAATAATAAACTGTGAGAAGGAGGGGAGATGAAGGCTGGGAGCCATGAACAGCTGGTGTCATCTGAGGATAAAAGACGAGAAATTACACAAGGTGGGGCTGGTGAGCTGGCTGTGACACAAAGCTGAGACGAATGAGGGGTGAGGAATGGGACTCAGCCTGGTCAGGTGAGAGAGAGAAAACCAAGAACTATTGTAAGGGAAAATAGGGCTTGATTACAGAAAAAGAAACTAACTGGACTGGGAGATTGCTTGCTATTTATTTCCTAACTTGACAAGTAGCTTGACTACAACTTCACTCTTTCTAAGCAGAGCTTTGTGGTGTGTGGATAATACTATTATATTGTGTGCTTATGTAATTACACTATTGTAGGTATTTTCATTATGTGTGTGCATGCATAATGTATCCAGCAGCATGCTAGGCTGCAGGGAGTTCATAATACAGACCATGGGCACAGGTCTTTTGTTTGTGTTCCCCAGTAGCCTTTTTGGTAGAAATAATTCTTTGGACTAAAGACTGCAGGGTGGGAGCCATTGATTTACTGATGCTGTTTGTGCTAACATGAGACTGAAGGGAATGGTTAGCCAGCATCCCCTGCCATGACATTGTTAATGTCAGTGTGAGTTCACTGTACCAGAGGATTCAGTCCAGTGTTTATGAGCCTGCCTGGTTGTTTTCATAGTACACTGGAAGCTTAAACTTACCAGACTTACTGTAGTTCTCCCTTTCGTTTTTTGCTTAAAAAGTAGCCAGGTAGCTGCCATTTTTGCTCAGAGTGAAGAATCAGGAATTCAATAGATGTGTTAGGACTTCCTGTGGAATACAGATATCTACCGCTACCGAATAACAAAAGAGGGCATACTGGTTTTGAGGAGGCTGCTCATACAGAAACCATTGTTATTTTTACAATAAAAGCTTCTTCAAGCAATTAAGCAAATGTTTTGTTCTCAGTTCAGTATTTATGTTGTTAATGGCATCTTTTCTTTTTCAGAACAATAAATCTAAACAGTAGTTTATTGCAACAAGTAATGGAAAGGAAACGTGAAGTGCTGTGCATCTTGAGAGAAAAGATAATAACAACTCAGAAGTGTACGATAACTGAACACATCCAGACAGAAGAAAAAATCAGTGGTGTGGTGGGATGCAGCACAAAAACAGTAAAGGTAAAATTCTGCCAGGAACAGAACATTTGCTGGTTATCTGAGAAGAAATTATGCTTTCTCCAAGTAGACTTCGGAGTATTTTTCATGCTTCCATAATATCTTGAACTCACTGCACTGCTTATTTGTGATACTTCAGAAAAGTAACATGTTTTCCCATTGCAGTGGCAAAAGATGAGCCTGGAATGTGGTTTCCATCAATACCGTCAAATTGTGATTCAGTTTCTATGTAGATTCCTGACTATAGCAGAACGTGAACCAAACGTACAACAGTTCAGTGAAAGCTGAAGAGTAAAAAGCAGTGCTGAAGCAAATTTATTTGCTAACCCAAGTAATCATTCATCAAAAATGTTTGCTGTGTCTACTGAGTTTTAATATTTATAGAGAAGCTATTTGTTTTTGATCATGGAAGCAGAGATTAACTGGATTAAAAGGGTATCTGAAAAATTGCCTATGAATTGAAAAGGAATTACCAAAGTCAAAAACACACTCATTTATAGTAAGTTTAAGTTGCAGATTAATCACTTCTGTACACAGGGTGTCTCTAGTAGCAGAGATCTGGGAGCTGCAGTTCAACAGTGCAAGTGCCATCTTCCTGGTACCAGCCTCCAGTGGGGCAAAAGGGGCGCCAGGATAAAAGAGGGCAGGGTGGGATGCTGAAGTCCATTTCCTAGTGACAGTGTAGCAAAAACTGCACCTGGAACTCAACTTTGTAATAGGAGAGGGTAGCTAAGAGTTTGAGAGCATTGTGCTTCTTTCCCTGCTTATGTAGCTCCTTTCACAGATGTCAAATGTAACATGTGCTTTGGTTAGACATCATGGAGAGTGGCACACATTCTTCTCTGTATTTTTCCCCCTTTATTAATTCTGTGTTTAAGCTACATAATAACAGAGTAAGATAAACAGTGAATAAATTTGTCCTCTAGGTTTCAGTGAGTGAAAGTGGAAGTATGATGAAAGATTCTAGTGTGATCCTTGAAATTCCTCCTGCAACCACTATTGCCTACAGTGTAATTGAACTGTTTATAAAGCACAGTGGCCAGTTTGGTAAGTATAAAGCTCATTTTCTGGGTACGCAGTTCAACAGAGCTGTCAGTTGGGCAATGATTTCTACATTTCCCTGTGCCTGAAGGTGATGATGTTGTGTGGCCTCCATTGCCTTGACAGATATTTGTGCTGTGAAATGCTGCTTTCTAAGTTAGCAGTGCCTTTTCACCTGTTTGAATAAATCATACACTTGGAATAACTTAGGTTTCAGGGCACCACAGGAGGTCACCATCTAGCTCAAGCCCCAGCTCAAGGTAGAGCCAACTTTTCTTGTATCCTTGTCTATTCAAGTTTTGATTATCTCTAGAGACAGAGATTCCACCACCCCTCTGGGCAGCCTGTTCTCATGTTTGACACCATCATAGTGAACTTTTGTCCCCCCTTAATACTGATGAGACTTTCCCTTGCTTTAATTTGTGTCTGTTGCCTTTTGTCCTATCATCATGCAGCAGTCTGGCTCTGTCTTCTTTTCATGCTTCCATCGGGTAGTTGGAGATAGCAGTAAGGTTCTCCCTTAGCAGTATTTTCTCCAGGCTGGACGAATCCTGTCTGTCAGCCTCTTTTCACACATGATGGTCTCCAGCACCTTGGTAGCTGTTTGCTGCATTGCTCCAGGATGTGAATGTCTTGTACTTCGGAGTCAAAAACTGAACGCTACACTCTGAATGCAGTCTCCCAAATTGAAACATCACTGTCATCGATCCTCTGGCTATGCTCTTGCCAGCACAGCCCAGTATGTGCAAACTTCAATAGCTGCAAGGGCACACTGCTCAACCTCTTGAATTTGCTGTCCATGTCTTCTTCTGCAGTTTTGCTTCTAGCTGTCTGGCCCTCAGCCCATGCTGTTGCCTTCCCCTGTTGGCAGGGAGAGTGAACTGAATATAAATCAATGGTCAACAAGGAATGCTGAGACGACAGTCGTGCTAAGAAAAGAATTATTCATATGGAATTTAATCTTTTCTATTTTACAGTTTCATATATATTCATATATATTCTCAGAATGGTTACAGAAATGTCCTTGTCGTGTTTTCAGGTCACAGTTTACTTATTTCAGTAAGTAATGAAATTTGCTTACTTACTTATTTCAGTAAGTAATTTTCAGGTGTCAAGTCAAAACAATGTTGAAGCTGGCTTTGGGAGGAGTAGTAACTCTGCTTTGTAGAATTGCTTGGGGTTTTCTTTCATGTCTGTCCTCAGTTGAACTCCCTGACCTAAAGGTTTCAGGGGATGTTATGTAAGAAGGAAGGAAATCAGATGGACTGTGTAAAGCTGGAGGTTGAAAAGGACTGATGTGGAGAGAAACAAGAGATACGTTGAAGAAATACTTGAATTGCAGTTGAGATTTCAATCCAGGATGCACTTTATTTGCATAAGGAATGTAGAAGGTACTCTCCATCATTCTCCTTCAACTGACTTCTGATATTGAGTCTGTAGGTTCCAGAATATAAGTAAATACCATATAACCTGTAAAAAATTCTCTGAAATGTGGAATTGCTCTGACATAGACTGATCACAGAGACAGAGCAGAGGGCATTGACTTCATGGTCATAATAAAAGTGTAATTCAGAGTAATCAGGTGCAGTTAAGGCTGTCTGACTACACAGGTGTGTAGCTGATAACCTGCTTATGTCATTTCTAGATAGAAATCTAGAATCCTTCTTTTTCCTTTTTTCATGTTTTATGTATGTCTTTTAAGCTTCAAAACTGGCCCAGCATTATTTTATGTCAATGAACCTATGGCTTGCCTCTTTTTAATGTACTGTCTTCCCTTGCCTGAGCATCACTGAGAACATGGAGGAACTAACAGCGAAATTAGGGATTTTAAGTAGGGTGGGGCTAAACTTTCAACTTCTTAATGTCTGAGCAGTGATAAGCGTCTGTTTATGGACATAAAAATAGCCTTTGAAGTTGAATCCAGTGACTAATGTAGTCCTTTCACATGAGACTGAAAGAGACCAGTTGCACGTTGTAGCATAACGTGATTCTCTTCTCATATAATTACAGAATAAGGTGCATTAAGGTGGTTTTTTGCTTCCCTTCCTTTGCCACTGACAGCGTGTGGGGTATCCTGTAAGAAAAAGTGGTATATAAAAATTTAAAGCTGATGTGACTGGACATGCCTGGACATTTTTATAAGGAAATGAAAAAGAAATAAAACAAGGTCTAATCCTTTTCTGACCCCTTTACTGTAATTTTTTCTTGTAATCATTCTGTTTGATTTCTACAGCTAATTTACCACTACATGTAAAAGCTGTTCCTGTTACAGGCTTTGCAGTTTTGTGTCTCTAAAGTCTTCCTAGAAGTCCTTTTGTTCTTGCTTTACAAAACAGAAGGTACAGCGGTACCCCCTGATTTGCTTTGTTCTGTTCATTGCTATAAACACGACTTGCTTCCTCTTAAATGACTATAAATTAAACAGCCCTAATCTTTTCAGCTTCTCCAAGCAAAGGAGTCTCCTTGCCTTTGATTGTTTTCATTGACCATCTCTGCTTTTCATCCATTTTTGTTAATGTTTCTGAATAACTAACAAGATCTAAGTGCGCTGCTGGAGGTTGGTCATCGATGGGTATAATAGAATTCAAGAGAGAAGACATCACAGTAGTGTGTGTATTTTTTTGTCTGCGTATTTTCCCTTCTCTTTTTTCTAAGAGTATGACAAAATTAATGAGCTAGAAAATTAATTAACAGCCCTACTAGTACAAAACATTCACATTTTCTTCTGAATCGAGTCCTATCTGAGATTTAACAGGATCTCTATCTTCTGAAACTTTTCATGATGCTGTGTATTGATTTCCCTTACTAGCATCAATCTGCCTTAGGAGGGCAGGTAGTTTATTAGCACTATCTCCTCCCTTCAGGGGTCGTGTGAAAGCCTGGTTATTATCAATGGAAGTAACATGAGTTTGTTCACCATACGGTGCCTTAGCTGTTGTCTGGGGTCTCATTGCTTTGGGAAGTTGTTTCAGTTGTGTTAATTGCTTTCTGCTTCTCTAGTTCACTCCTCTTCTCTGAATGGTTATGCAGGCATAAAGGCCTCTGTCATCTTTCTTTCTCTGTGGTAGAGATTTCTTTGTGTACTCTCCCTTTGAAAACCTTTTTGCTGATGGAGTGCTCTCCGTGCTTTCTCTTCTGCTTTGAATGTCCTTAATTTGGTGAGACAGACTCTTGCAACTGCAGGAAGGTTATATTTAGGGTTTGTGCCTGCTACGTGTGAGCACTGTGCTCGATTAGTTACATTTTTCCCTCCCCTTTGCTGTCAGGTGTTACTCTAAAATTGAGTTTCTCTTGTTAGCCTCACTGCAATTTCCTCAGACCTGCTACAGAGGAACAGGGGAACAGTTACAGGTCTTTCATTTGAGATGATAAAAGGTGACCAACATATGTGTAAGGCTTTGGTTGTACTCTGCAGCTTTGGGGCACAATGTTGGACACCTGAGCACAGAACTCGATATTCCAGATTTCTCAGCATAACTTTCACAAAGGCTTCCTGTGTACCTGAGGAGTCCCTTGGCCTCATCAGGTTGGCATTGGGGTGGAAGGAAACGGGGAGTCCTGCTTGGGTCAGGTAGACCAGGATGCCATGAAGACAAGGCAGGAAGGGTAATCCAGCCAGGTGTGATGTTTTCTTCATGAAGCTCCTGCAAAGTGACAGTATACTTCAGAGTGAACATGCCTGGGGGAAGTCCTTTAAAATCACTGTAAAGCCCCCTATTTTCCACTCATCTGGAGAATTTGAGGGTGGACCTGTAGCTTGGCTGAGAAAGGGGAATCTGTAAGTGCCAGAAGTAGCTCTGTGAGGGACTCTCAGAGTTTGTATAAAACTCAGAAAGTGCTTTCATGTCTCCATCATGAGTGGCCCCTTTAGCCAGCATTACCGCACATCTCTTACTTGGCAGAAACATGAAGAATACCTGAATCTCTTGTATGCAACATTCAGGTTTACAGTGTCAGTGAGAAGTTTTCATGTTACTTGCTGTCTACAGTACCTTAATTCCCATGAGCTGGAGTCACATTTTGGAGCTGCATCACAGAATCTGTCTGTGCACACTATACCAAACAGCAGGGCTGCAGTAATGCTCAGTAATTCACATTCATAGCAGCCACTGGCATTTTTTCCATCTAGAAGAGATGAGCCATGGAGAAATCACGTACAGGAACACTGTAGATAATACAAGCTAGCACCTCACTCATGAATTACTTACACATTTTATTAATTTTATTGTTTCAATTGAATTTCTAATTACAGAATTCTGTCTGCTGGATGAACAGCAAGGAGGTTTTGAAAAAGAAAGCACAGAAGGCTCAACTTGTCCCCATTCAGCGCTATTCAGAGATGCTTTGTTTCTCTATCAGCCAGATGCCGTTGATAACGACGTGTACTCTGGGGCAAAAAAACTCATTCCCAGTGGTGCTTCTTTAAGTGTCTTGAAGCAAGGTATTACCAGAAATGCTTTACATTATTATATCACAGTGAGTTAAGCAACATGATAGGAGGAAATAATCTGGTATAATAGGGGGTAAGAAATTATGTTAGTTCATTTTAATAGCCCTTATTGAGAACTCTTAAGGGAATGCACTGAAAGAATGGAAGGATTTACTGCTGCAGTAAGTATATGCAGTGGACTGTTCCCTAGGAACATCCTGAATCCCTTTGTCATAAATACGATCTTACCAAATCAGGTGTTAATGGCAGTTCTCTTACATTCCAGATGAACTCTGTAAGATCAGTGGTGATTTATGATTTCATTCAGAAAGGGCCACTGAAAATATTCCTTCACCATTTGGAAAATGCTCTCAGTAAAGCTGCTCAGTTAAAGGTTATTTTAAGTCTCAAAAACTACAAAGGCATCTCCCCCCTTCACTTAGCCTCATTGTTTTATGAGATGCTTTATAGAGATCTTTGGTATCAATTACAGCTGATGAAATGAAAATGTGATTTTTAAATGGCAATTGGCAAGCTGGTACAATGGGCCAGGCACAACTTGTTTATTGTAGGCATGGGGGAGGAAAGGGCAAGTTTGTCACCAGAGGACTGACAAAAGGGAAAACAAATCAAGGCCTCAGCACACTTTACTGTTCTTCAGTTCTTGGCAGAGTTCTTACAGCTGGTTTTAATGACGAACATCACTTTTGTTATCTCAGCATTTCACCCTTTGGCTGTTTAGTGGACCATCTGTAACCAAAATAGGTATTTGTTGTCCTGAAATAAACTATGTCGTTCTCTCATGGAGAATGGAAAAGAATAACTGTGTCTGCATGTGTATATAAAAACCAGTTATCTGTGAAAGAATGCACTGTTTGGTTTAGCTTGACATATGCTCGCACCTTGCCCGCTTACAAGGCTTGGAGGTTTCTTTTCATTAATTAACCTGAGCTGTCTCCTGGAAAAAAGCCCTAAAAATATTGTTTCTACTCAAGGTGTTTAAAGTAGGTTTCCTCTTCTGTGCTTTGTACGTACGACTGCATCAGGTACAGCAGATATCTGCCTGAGGCTGGGTTGGTTTTCCTTTTTCCAGTAAAGTAATTTTTGGATACAGAAGGCATCTTTAAAGAGTGCGTGTTTCTTGACCGGAGTGACACGAAGGGAGACTTCTTTGAAACAAGGTTAACGATGCCTGTGTGTCCATGTTTTTAGAATGCAGAAAAACACATCCCAGCCTTCCAGTTGGCATTATGCACTTGAAAACTTATTTTTTTCAGCAAAGCGGTAATTTGATGTCATAAAACATTTTGTTTCAGTGTCATGGTTGAGCTCTGGGGAAAGAAGTGAATTCTTTTGTGCTTCTGTTGTATCCATTGTCATGGATTCGGTATTTCAATCAACAAGAGATTTTTGTCCTGATTTTTGTAATAATGACAGGGTCAGGGGTGAAGAGTTGTAATTCTTTGATGTACCTGATGAAATACAAGGACAGTAACAATTGATTGCAATAGGAACTTTGAGTTCTGTGGGTGGACTTGTACCTTTGACTTTTTAATTCATATTAACCCACAGATTAAGAAGTGAAGAGCAGAACTTTTCATTCTGCCTTATAAATGGACATTTACTGGATATGAACTTTCAAGTGAAAAACTTAATATATGGTTAGTTCAGTTAACATTAAGATACTGAGGTCTAAAATCTTGATCCTTTGTAGCTGTTCTTAGAATTTTCATTGATGCTTCATTGGCTTGGCTGGGAAACAGAATCGGCTGTGTTCCAGCCTTGCCTTATAACTTGTGCTGATGGAAATCAGGATGTCAGGATGTGGTGATAAATGAGCTTATGAAACACACAGCAGAAATGCTAACTGTTTTCACTGGCACCTGTGCAGAAATACTTACTTTTACTTCTTACTGCTTTCTTGGGAAAGATCTGTCATGGCTGAAGGCTCAGTTCCAGCCCTTTGTGAAGCTGCCGGAAGACAAGCGAAGAGCTTTATATAAAACCCTTTGTGAGCTCTTGCTCTGTGAAGAAATGGTGACTGCCCTGGAGGACGTGGTAAGAGAAAGCAGCTTCCGCTTGTTCTCTAAAAGCAGTTTCCAAATGGAGCTGGCATTCTCCTTTGCTGGAACTTTTCTCTTTTGAGGAAGTTTACTTACTCTTTTGCTTCGAGGTAGATGATATCTGCACGGGAGACAAGCCAGACCTGAAGGAGTTAATACCTGCACAACAACGAGACCTCCTGGACTTCTTACAGCTCATCGGGTGCAGGTTGCAGAAGGAGCTGTTGCAGAAGTGCCAGCCTCAGGATGAAGAACTCTTCTCAGCTGCTCACCTTCTCATCAGTGCTATCTCTGGTATGTTGTGGATGAAGAGAAGGGCCATTTTTTAAACATAGTTTCCTTTTAGAAGCTCCCTCTGTGTTAAAGCATTTATGGCTTCTTTTGAGCAGCTGATGAGCTGAGTGGCTGTCATTTGTTCCCTTCTCTTTTTATGAGTTTGGTGTACCATGCTTCGCGTTCTTGGCTGGCACTTAAATTCAGCCCTCAATCACTGACAGATTTTGCTTGTAAAATACACATTCCTCCAGGATTGCTTAACTCTGTTTTCCTCTGAGTGCGGGCACTTCCAGTTTGGCAGCTAATTCCTGTTCCTACAGCATACGGAGCTGTTCCCGCCTAGATGCTGAGAAACACAAATCAGGAGTTGTCTTCTGTGTCACAGCGTGTATTGGTGAGGTGCAAACTCTGCTTAGCAGAAATGCATTTAACGTGAGACACTGCAATTAGAGGGTTGTTTTGCAGCTGCTGGAACAGGAGATTAAACCCAAATGTCAACCAAATGCCATCCTCACAAGCTCATTGGCTCCGCAGTGTTAATTAAAAGCTACCTGCAAAGTCCAGAACAGACTTTCCTGGGTTCTTCTCCTCTCTCATATATAAAGAATTTCCTGACATTAAGATAACGAAGGGAAGTCCAGTGTGGTATTAGTTAGATGTGGTATTGTGCAGCAAAATGTCAGTGTGCATCTATTTATGCACTGAACCCGGGTAGAAAGGCTTAACTCATTTGTGGAGACAGAAAAGAAACAGAAAACAGAAACCTGCTGATGTGGTAACACTTGTCAGATGCTATTAACAGAAGGGGGCGGTTAATTGAGCGTGTTTCATTATCACCTGGCTTTGGACATAATGTCTGCTGCTGAAGTCCAGGCGTTGTTAATGTGGCTGGATCAAGAACCAAAGCTGGTTTATGCCTGTTGCTTCTAGTAGGATTTACAGCCTCTGAGTTGAAGGGCACCACAGGGATCATTTAGTCTGTCTCCCTGCCCCAGCACAGTCTCAGCTGTGTAATTCCTTCTCAGATGTGTTTTTGCTGAAGTCAGCATCTCGTACAGATTTTGAGAGCGGAGGTTCTTGTTTTATTCAAGGCCTAAATAATTCATCCAGCCTGCAGGCTCAGAGTGAAACACTGGGCGATGCTTATGGATGAGACAAGAATGATGGGGAGGAAATCCCCTTTCCTACAAGCTGCCCTTTCTCAAGGGCAGAGATAGTCAGTGTGGGCTTTTACCTACCCATTCCCCATCCCGTTTTATTCTGCAGTCTTGGAAGCTGGCAGGAAAGGGCTGGATCAGCTTCTTCCAAGCATCCAGGCATCCAGCAGGGCAGTTATGACAACTGTCCTCAGCATTGAATCACTTTGTTCTCCAGCATCCATGTCACAAGGTGCTGTTATGTGCAGATGGGCCCCAGAAATGCAGCTCGCCTGTCTTTGCTCAGCAGGAAAACATCTCAGAGCTCACTGTTAAGAAAACCCTTTCCAGCAGCCAGCCTGGTGCAGTGTTCGCTGAAGACAGTCCTCCTCTTATATTGTTTCCTCCACAGAGCTGCCTGATTGCACCCTTGTCCTGCTGCGTGCCTGCTGTGATCTTCAGGTGGTTCCAGCGTTGTGTTATTTGGTGAGTAATCAAACTGTGACTCTGTAGCATGTGGGCCCCAGCAGCAGTAATGACTCTATCCTCTGCTTTTATCATGACTTGTCACCCAGTACCGAAGATGTTAAGCTCCAGTGTGGATTTCGGCTGTAAGCATTGCTTTGGCAAGGTCAGTCTGACAGTGGCAAGCGATGCAGGTTATTTACTGCAGATGGATCCCAAACCTCTGAAACGTTTCTGTATTTGGGAGGTTTCATGGGCTGTGAGCAAAAGAAAATTGTAACTTAAGCTCAACTTTTAATTTACTAATAGTCTCACTAGCCTACTTTAGAGTCTTGGTGACAGTAATCACCTGCCCTTGGAAAACAGTTTTCCATTCATAGCATCAGTGCTTGGGCCATGGCAAATTCTGAAGTTCCTAAATTCTGAGGCCATTCATTGCAACTGCTGAAAGAACAGCACAGGGGTTTTCTTGAGGCTTTTTTAGCTCACTAACACAAATAATAGTAAACACCAGAAAATATGCAAGTGCAAGAGGAGTGCTGCTGTTTGCTCAGAGCAAGAGTGAGAGCTCAGTGTGATCTTCAGTGATTAAGGTGTGTGTGTGGGGGGGAGATGTTTGTGTCTTTAAGGAAATCAAGGCCAGGTTAGACAGGGCTTGGGGCAACCTGGTCCAGTGGAAGGTGTCCGGGCCCATGGCAAGGGGTTGGAACTGGATGAGATTTAAGATCCCTTCCAAATCATCCTGTGATTTCTGGGACATGCAGTGAGAGGCTGAACTGGAGAAACGGCACTGTAGGAGAGATGTTTCTCCTTAAAGGGTGCCATAGAGCTTTGGTTCCGGATGAGTACGTTGTACTTGTCAAGGCTAACACTAAAGGGAATCTTGCCCTTTTCCTGCTGCCTTGTAAGCTCTCCGGTGAGCTGTGTAATGGCAGGAGCGGCCCTGCTTGGAAAACGTTTTTGATGTGTTTGTGTTTTGCTCTCTCTCATGAACACAGCCGAACATCGCTGCAGCTGATGGCACTGTGGCGCTGAGCAGTCCTTTGGTGGCGACTCTCACTGACAGAGGAAGATTTGATGTGGTGCAAAGGCTGTTTACTTCATCAAACATTCAGTTGGAAATGACAGAGTCTTCTGTGAAAGCTGTAACTATGAAAGAACCTAGATTCTTCCCACTGGTTCTTTATGTTGCATTGTATGGATTTTCTGCTTTAGGTGGAAATGTGTAGGAGTTTTGCTGCATTATTGCTCTAGCCTGTTCTTCTGTAGCTCTGCAATGTAGTGTTGGTGTGTTTGAGCTGGGAGTAGAGCCACTGGGTTGAGTGCATAGGGCAGTCCGGGCAGGGGTTATGGTGGCCAGGCTGGGCTCTGCAGGCTTGGGGTGAGCACTCTGCACTGCCTCAGCTTCACTGACACCTGTGACTGCAGTGGGAAATGCAGAAATAAGGGGTGAAGGTGTGGGGGGGGGAATCAGAACAGACAAGCCTGGAATTAGGAATTGAATGTAGCTGTTCTGGTTGTTGTCACATCTGTGGGGCTTTAGAACCTGACTGTTTGCATTTACATGCATGGGAGAAGACTGTGAGGTACAAACTGCTTTGTGTAAGCAAGCAAACCAGCAGGCTGTGGAAGGCTGGGGTCTGCAATGCAGCAGCTGCTTTGCTCACTTAGGACTTAATGTAGGGAATGTCTTTACTCTGAAGCAAGCAGAGTGGAGGGCTCTCAAGAGATACTTGATTAGGATTTTGGTTGTTCACTGTAGTTTGGCTTTACAGATGTGAATTGCACTGCAGGAAATAAACCCTTTTTCCAAAAGGAAGAGCACTTTGGGGCTTTGTGCCTCTCTTCAGCATTTCGGTTTTCCAGGAAGTTTTTACTCACCTCAGCAAGTTTCTGCTGTTTAAATTGTGTCCTGAACGTTCTCTTTGAGGCACAGTGATGCCTTTCAGTGTGTGCAGATGCCACAGAAATGATCATTTCACCTGTGAGACATTTTAAGTACAGATGTTTTGATTGTTTGACTAAAAGCAAAGTGTTGGTAAAGCTGCCCAGGGCTGTTGGGCTTGGAGCTGGTTTGCCCTTTTTTCATTGTATTTGTTTTTGTAATGACGTGGATGCGCCAAATGCAGCCAAGACCACTGTAAATATGGGCTTGGGAAGGTGATGTTCCAGGTAAGTGGAATGTCAGTGCTTCCAGGCAAGACTGAGGCAGCTGACAGACAAGCAGGCAGCTGTGTGTGCGTGGAGGTGACCGCTAACCAGCCCCTGCAGCTGAGCTGGAGGCTTCAGTCCTGCCGTCAGCTTTCTGCTCTATTCCCGCGTGCTCTGGAGCAGATTGTCCAAGCCTGACCCTGTCAGTTCAGCTTTCCCTGGGGAAGTGACTCTGCAAAAAAGCCCTACAGTCCCTTTCCATACCCTGAGAGTGCCTGGTCCCTGGCATGCTGGGCTGCTGCAGGTCCCGTGTCTCATCTGGTCACTGAAGCTGATGGTGTTGCCCAAACCTTGCACTGGGGTATCTATCTGGAAGCAGCTTTCAGGAGCATGGAAGCACATTACTCTGCTTCCAGGAGGATGTGTCTGTGTGAATGTCTTTTGCTGTCCACTGCTCAAAAGTTGCCTCTGTAACTAATTTACCAACATGTTATGTAAAACAATAACTTACAACCTCATGCACGTTAATTTTGTTGTTCTTTTGGGGATTTCAGTCATGCCTTTGGCCTTGAATGGAGGTGGCAGATGGATACATGGGCATCCATGTAGTGCTTTGATCTTCCTTAAAGAGCTTGATGTGCACTGTATGACATAACTGCTTTCAGGGTGTGCATGCTGTGGTGTGTTGGTAACAGAGGGGATTTGTGTGAAGAAGATAAAAAAAATCCCAAACCCAAATGGGAGGTGTTCTATAGAAACATCATTGAAAGAAGAGGTTGTGTTTGTTTCCTGCTGCTTTGCTTTCAGATGCAGATTAATCTCTTGCTTCCGTAAATCCGGAACAGGGTGAGGCTGAGGGGTATGAAGGTTGCTGACAAAGCAGAGGTGAGAGGGGCTGGTGTTGGTTCTGGGGCTGGGGAGTCCTCACAGCTGCAGCCAAGGAGGCAGGTGTGCTCTGTCACAGGGTAGCAGGGCTGCTGTAGCCCTTAGACAGACGGGAGCTTGGGGAGATGTTGTGTCAGGCAGTTTTCATCAGTAAAGGAAGAGATGCAGATAAAAGGCAGATGTGTGCAGGCTGCCTCTTGATGGCTTATTTGGCTCTAATTCAGATTATGACAAAAAACAGTCATCAGAAAAAAGCCAATTATGGTTGGGTTGTTTTCAATATTAAATCTTTATTATATACAAAAATATTTGTTGGGAGTTAACAGAGTCTCATAATTTGTACATTAACGTTTTTATGTTTGGCTGTGTTACTTGTGAAAATATTAGCTGTGAAAAAGACAGGGGGGTTAGAAAATAAATCCCAATTTAAAAATGCCCTATGCAGCAGCTGTCTCTGGCACATGAGGTCAGAATGCAAACGTGTGCCCATGGCCTGCTCCACACTGTGGACTCAAAACGCACCTATAGGTGCTACATCAGTGTCAGGTTTACATTAGAAAGTTTAGCTAATAGCTAAGGGTTTATTTTCTGTAGGATGTTTTCAGCTAAAGAAGGTATTTTCTATCCAGCAAAGCAGTTTTTAAAGTATAACAAGTGTCTAATCCAGTTTAATGTGCTGCAAAAAGAGAACACAACAGGAGATATTCCACCAGGCAAAGCCAGGTGGGAGAAGAGGCGTGGTAAGGAAAAGGTTGGCGACAGACTGCTAATAGCCATGGAAATCCAAACACTTCACTGGGATTTTACAGCTGTTGGCCCAGTACGGAGCAGGAGAGATGTCCTTGGAGCACAGGGCACAAACATGACACACAGGCAAGCTGTGGCATGGCAGGAGGGAGGGGAAGGAACGCCAACTGGCGTTTTCAAAGGGGGAAGAGTACCTTTCAGCAGTCATCTCCATCTGTAGTTGTGTACAGGACCTAAACCACAGCAATCAGCCCAAACACAATTCATTGTTTTGCAGGCAGCAATGCTACCCCACCCCAGCACTGCATGAAGCATTTTGCTCTGTTCTCAGTACCATACAAGAGATCAAATAATGGGGAAGTAATTTGGGTTTCTGAAGTATTTTACTGTATTCCAAGTAAATTTTGGCTACTTATGGAGTAATAACTGGATGAGTATGAGGTCAAAGCTGGAGAAGCTCATGATAGTACAAGGACATGGCTAAATGGGAGGATGTGTTGCCAAGACAGTGTTATCCTGGCATGTCTGTCAGTAACCATAGCCAACCACTGCCCTAGCAGCAGTGGGATCTCCATACCAGGTAGCATGAGAAAAGGGTTCTGAGACCAAAATTCACCTATACTTCAAGTGTAATTTATTCTGTAAAATAAAAACATTGCTGCAAACATGCTGGGAAAAAAACCCAAATTACACATGGGTGTGAAACTGCTGAACAGCCTTCACTGAGCTGGAGTTTGTTTCTAAGCCCCGACAGGTAAAGTCCAGCTGTAGCACCACTGCAAATGAATTGAGGGGTCAGCAGCTTAGAATGCGGGAGTCTGAGGAGAAGCACCCCGCCATGGAGGATTAAGGTTAATTTGCAGATGCTCCCTGAAGTACTTACTGGTGGTACTTACCCCTGCATTTTATGTATGCACGGTTTTGTGCACGTGCACATAAATACAGCTGCAATGTTTGTTTGGAAACCAAAGCTGCCTCTGAAAATTGGTTTAGATGTGCTTTCACTCTACTCAAGAATTAACAGTAAGTTAAGTAATAACTTACATAATAGAGTAAGTTACTTAGCAATAAGTTATACCAGTCTTATATATATCGATGTTCATTTTGAGTGCTCTTTCCTCTACAAGACACACATTGAGAATCCCAGACTATTCCCAGCAGTTAGCTGTTAAATACACAGAAAAGCAAGAAGACTAGGCCTGTAAGAGAAACCTAGGAAGAAAAATCAGTTGGTGACTGTCAGCTGGAGGGGTATTTAAGGCAAGAGGCTGAGCAAGCTGCCAGCCCCTCGGTCCAACAACCACTACCTCAGCATCAGTAACTAATCGCACCACTGGTGCACAAGTGGTATCGTAAGTTTGGCAATAACAATAACTGCACTACCTCTTGGGAATCTGGGTGAGGCAAGAAACCCTGCATGAAACAGAGGGCCTGTACATATCTACATGGTAGGTGCAGACAACCTCCACCTGTAGCTGGTCTGAGAGCTGCACCTAAAGGCGCAGCAAGTGGCAGGGAGTCTGCTGTGGTAGGCACGATGGAGGTACCAAGAAACAGCAGCTGCCTCAAAGCTTGTCTGAGTGAAGCTGCAAGCTCGTGCATAAGAACAGACAATAACCCACATCTCCCCCTTTCTGGAGTGGTGCTTTCTATGTGATCATTCTCCACCGGTCCTTAAGGGCAGTGGAGATGCAAGCCTGGCTCTCAGGGGAACCTAGCCAGGAGTGGTCTGCATTTCAAAGAGAAAACACCCTTCCTATTTCTTCTCTGAATCACCCTCCTCAAAATCAAACCAAACCAAACCCAGATGATTTTCAGAATACTGAGGCAATCTATACAGCGAGTATTTAGGTAAGATTTAAAAAGATGCAATGAATCAGAATTGTACCAGAAGCTCAGGAACAAAGTGTCACATTTTGAGCCTATCCAAGATGTGACAGTTTAATATAAATACAGGTTCAGAAGTGATGAGCTGATCTGCCATCCTGCCTCACAAAGCTTTTGTATGTCCAAGTACTCAGAGCTACCCCGATGGGAGAACATGGCATAAATTAAGGATACTGTGTGGGTTACAGATCCCGTTTCCCTTGCCTGTGTTGGGATCTGTGATTCTGCTCTGATTTTACCTTCATTTGCTGCTTGCAGAACTTCTCCAAAGACAAGAGCCTTAAAAGTCTGTGCAAGGTACAACACGCCATTATAGCTATCGCACTAAACTTTGACTGACTACATCTTGCCACATGATGTAGAACCTAAAGCAGACCTGTAAGTGTAACCTTTAGAGACAGCAAGGAAATCACTTGGGTACACATGCACCAAAGTATTTACATCGAAGCTGGGACTGGTGCACACTTGAGGGAATTTTTGATGCATTTAAGGAAATAACTTAGGGGTCTTGGCATACTGACTGTACTTTTATGTGAACCTCTTGGTTTACAGGGCAACTACAGCGTTTCTTCTATCAGTCTATATGTACAGAATTTTACAGCACCTCATGCACTGTCCAAAACAGATAGAAATTACAGATAAATATAGAATTTTTAGATTGAAATATCTGTATATTTAGAAAAATATACATTAGTAAACACAATAAACCAGGTAGAGAAGTGTACCTG